GTGCTGGTAAACAGAAAACCCTCCCTGAGTTGTGTTTAAAACTGTGTGGGTCTGCAGTCGATTTCAACACTGTCAAGCTTCCAACAGAGAGTGACGACTCAGTCAGCTTCACCCTGACAGACAGAGGTGTAGTGACGAGGAATGAAAAAAAAAGCTGCAGATAGTGTTCTCTGTCTGTGCTGGGAGCCATAGGGGCGGTGGTGAAATGTGATCCAGGAAGCTGGAGCTTAACATGTGGCTGCAGGTTGCTACCTGGAGCACACTGCGTGTGTGACTGTGAGATCATGCAGGTGTGATTGTGAAGTTGTGTGTGAGCATGTCAGAGCTGACCTCCGTAGCAGCAGTCATGGCCTGAGGTTTCTGCCCTGCAGCATTGGATGTTTGGATGAAAACATGAATTTTTTTCTTTCAGTCTCAATTTCAGGTTCAGTCGAGTTTACTGAACAACTGAGTGACAAGTCTGTTTGGAGCAGTCACTAAAAGATTTTCGCCAAGCGCCATCTGACTTGGTAGAAACTCAGCTTTTTCACAATTTGGAAAAGAAAATCAATTGCTCTTACTTTTATTTTAAATGTAGCACAGGTCCAGAGTGCAACACAAAGGCGCGCTTCCACAACAAGTACCTTGCGTGTGTGCACCATGAGTATTAACGAGTCTGATGTTGAGGCAGGTAATGCTGATTTGTGGGATTCATTACATGTCTGGCACAGCGGTCATTATATTGAAATGGAATTCATTATATTTCTGTGTTTTCAATCAGAGTGTAATCCATCCTCATCTCTAACTTTAATCAGCCTCCTCTACTCGTTCACTGAAGATTTAAGCCACTGATTTACCTTTATCACAGCCTCACAGGAAACACTACGGGAGTAAATATTTACAGAGCATTTCTCCTTTGACTTATGATGCTGTTAGATTGTGTTCAATCCTCTGTATCTTTTAACAAATTACAAAAAGTTTGGGGTCAGCTGTGATTTCTTCCAATAAGACAAATGTTTTCAGGTTATTTACTTACATTTTTTATGGCTGATCCACATATACAGAACATTTGATGCTTGTTACAGATTTGTCAGTAACAGGTTTGGCGTACAACTTACACCTTGACATAAAGCTTCTTTTTCTAACAGAGTAAATGTGAAACAGATATTTGGGTTAAAATTGTATCAGAATCAAGTCAAATTGCCATATTATACAAACTTATTATGTGACTCATTTCTACATTGCTTTTACCCGAGAACAGATCATTTTACTTCTAATGAATCTGATAAAATAGTTTGTTTTTAAAATCGTGTATTAGCTGTGTATCATCCTCCTCCTGTTTTTCCATGTAAAAGTCCTTGTTCATTTTCTACAAAAGATGTAGGTGTGAGGTGACTGACAGTTGGGGCTCCTCAAGGCTTGGATGGACTAAGTGGGTCATCAATAAAACAGATAAACAACTGAGTGATAAAATATCGAATTCTTTAATGGAAAAACTCAAAGGTACAAGTCTGTGCATAAAAACACGAGTAAATAAATTAACTACGACTCCCACGGTGCCTTTTTGTAAGAACCACTATCTACAGAAATTACAGCAAGACACATTATTTCTCAGAGTAAAAGTTGAAATAATTAAAACTGCTGGCCTCTTTTTAACCAACAGTATTTTGGTATACTCCTGTATTTCAATGTTTAGGAAGATTGAGTTTAATTTCACCCAAACCACAGAAGGATTTCTGCGCTGACACCTAGTGACGAACCAGCTGTGCAGCAAGTTCTATTTTGTTTGCTGATGTGCCAAGAAAAATATGTTTTTTAATTTGGGTGCGCTGACCCTTTATGAAAAATCTGGATTGCAGTGCTAATTCCTGCTTGAGACAGATTTGTTCTGTCTACAGGGATGAGCATGTTAAAGTCTTACTCAAAGACAAAGTCCCTCTTAAATCTGTAATTATTATACTGAGGATTACTTTATACCTCATTATGCCAATCCTGTAGATCCATATCCTTGAGAGTGAGTCCTGTGAAATTTGATGGACTGTATATGCACATATTATAGAATAGGAGCCAGACACATTGCCAGATAATGTAACTATTTCAATGTTGCAAGCATTTATTCAGTGAGACCTGCACTGTATGAATTATCTTATTCATATTTTAGTACCTCATATGAAATGTCTTGGGCCTAAAATAGGACCCTAGACTATATCATGCTTAAACCTATTTTAATCCGGCCTCGGTGATGTGAAAGATAGAAAAATCTGGAAAGATCACAAGATGCCCTAATTCTCTCCAGAACCCAAACAGTGGGCCTTGCCATTGTAATCTGATTATCTGTCACCAAGTGAGTGGAGATAAAACCCCACATACCTGTCACCCTCCAGTGAAACCTCCAGCGCCAGTCAACCTGGAGACGCAGACCTGAATGTTCAGTACATCGTATACCTGGGGAGATCTGTTTCATAAACCCATATAAATCATCAGACAATGTATGACACTGGTATTCATAACTTTGTGGCACAATATGAAGACATCTTTTGTCTTGTCTCTTTGTACCTTTGCATTTATCTAGACACCAGGACTGTTTATGGACTAACAATGGGGTTAAATGGTTTAGATTTTCTTTCATAATACTATCTGAACAACCTTATTTTTGCAGAGGAGCGAAAGGGAGGGGGGGAAATGTGACACATCTTTTCATCTCTGATCTCAGGGAACGGCATTTCTGCCCTGCAGATTGTTCTATGCTGATTGCTTTTAGCTGTGGATGGGCTGTCAGAGAGGCAGTGAAGGGCAAAGTGTTCTGCCCTCCAGTTCTCTCTGCTGTCAGTTGTAGCGAAATTCAAGCTGGCATGGTTTGGCCGTGCATCAGCTGGGCTCAACGTTACCTCATGTATTTCCATTTTTGTTGTGCACATTTGGGTTTGTGTGGTTTTAGTTGAAAAGCGTGAAATACCCATGCAAATGATGCACCTTGAAGCATGTGTTAAATCTGAGACTGTCTTTCATTTAGTTTCCTCAAAAAACAAAAACAAACAAATTGCAAAAAAGGACCTTGAATGTATTAAAATATCTTAAATTTCACTTAAAAAATTACAATTTACAATTTTCTCTTGCATGCTGTTTTTTTTCACTTGCCGTCGGTCCATCAGTCCAAAACAAAAAAAAAAAACAGCAAATCTTTACAATTTGTAGCTAAAACCAGAGAATGTTTGACATTTTTTGCTGAAAAATTACTGAAAAGATTAATCAGTTACCAAATAGTTTCCAAAACAGGGCTAATTGATTATCCAACTAATCGTTGCAGCTCTAAAATGAATTATTTTAGTTTGTTAATCCATCCTTGCATTAATGATAACTTATAATAACTTTTTTTTATATACTGTTGTAAACTGCTAAAATGTGTTAGTATGATAAGTGATTGTTGTCGACATCGTCCCTACTGGTTTTCCATCATACATACATTCACATATACTTTGTCGTATTACAAAAGGTCTTATCCGGCTTAAATTGAACTTGGTGAAATTTTGTGCAATTTTTTATACTTTGTTTTTTCAGTCCTCCTCATGTACTTAAGTGGAGACAGTGATTATATAGAATTTCATGTACTTTGTCACTTCATTTCTGATAGTTGAAACGTTTGAGCCTCCATGTACTTTTTCAAATTCCCGTGCTAGAAAGTGTAATACACGCTATACTTAACCCACATGTCACTCATCACTCCACTCCTTGTTCTTTCCTCTCCTAACCTGCACACAGGAAAACAGTTAACGTGGAATCCAAACTTCTGAGTTTAAATCAAAGGAGTGATTCTGGGGATTTTGATCACATCAGTTATGCTGTTGTAGCTACAACAATGAAGTATGACAAACATGGATTAAAATGTAGATTAGGTTCAATGAAAGTTTGTGGGAATGTCATAAAACCATTGAGTCAGCTCTGAAGGAAACCGAAAGTGAAATTAAACCAGAAAAATTTATTAAAACTCCACTTAGTGGGTATAGCATTTGTAGTCGACAGAAAAACTCAAATAGATTTTACTCTGATATGAGTTTTTGCATGATTTAAAGTCACATCATCCAGGTTTAGTCCACTGATTCATCTTATTTTATGCATGTTTATAATGTTCTCTAAGAAAATCTAATTTTAAGGAAAAGCTGCCTGCTAATTAGATATTTAAATGCTATTTAAATTTCAAGAAATGTTTTATGAGCAGTTTAAATGTTATAAATAATCAAGGCTTTGGTTTTCATCCATACGGCTTCAGCTTTAGCTTGTGATCTAAATTCGTCTCTGTGTTTATTTTTTAACAATTCATTATGCACTTTTGGTCAGGTCTCCCTTGTAAAAGACATATTACAATTCCATCTGTGTGGGATTCTGATCCTTTGTTGATTATGAAAGCAGCAATTTGATGGCTCATGCCTCCAAGGATATTTGATGCACATACAGCAAATACCAGCTCAGACATATAGTACACATGCAGCTGTTTATACTCGGATCAGGACTGAACCTTTTACTATCATCAGCATGATACCAAGTCATCAAACTACAAATCCCTCCTCATAGCTGCGCAATGACAAAGGCTTAGAAGTAAAACATTTGATGAGCACTTGTTGCTGGTATTTGGCCACCAAAGGAATAATTATGGGGAAGGGTTTAGGCTGCCACCTGTCTGAAAGGGCTCAGAGGCAACTTTCTGTCGCTGAAACAATGTGTTGCTTAACTTTTGCCTTTTTTTCTGGTGAAGGCATGTTGAGACAAGAGTCAGATACCTTGCCACAGACTTCCCTTTGCTGTTGTGTCATTGTGTATTCTGTGTCCATTTTGTATTCTTTGTAGAGCTGGAGCTCGGGGGAAATGATTGGTCTATTTACAAAACAGTGTAGATACATGATTTATCTCTGTGTTACGTGTTTTTCTGCACATAGACAAGACTGTTTACTCAAGGAAACTCAAGGACAGAAGTTTTTTTTCCAATAAAGAATCAAATGTATATCTCTCTTTCTTTATTTTCACAGGTCTGTGGATGTTCATGTAGCTATTAAAGATGGCAGCTTCAGGAACAACCCTCCTCACATTAGCAGCATTGCTCCTGCATGTGGCGAGATGTCAGGGAATCATGGGAAAAGGAAAGGACAGCTCGCCGCTGAGGTTCACACACCATCTCTACAACGCCACCATCAACGAGAACTCGGCCCCGCGGACGTACGTTGAGACACCACTGAAGATGGGTATTGAAGTGACAGATCTGTTCTGGGAAATCACATATAATGTTGTCTCAGGTGACGATGACGGCCTTTTCCAAGCAGAGTCAGTCAAAGTTGGGGATTTCTGCTTCCTCAGGATCAAAACACGCAGCAGTAACTCAGCTCTCCTTAACAGGGAGGTCAGAGACACTTACACTCTCACTGTGGAGGCAACCGAAAGCACGTTTGACTTCCAGGTGAAGACAAAGGTGTTTGTCCAGGTGCTTGACACCAATGACTTAAAGCCTCTTTTCTATCCTGCCTCATACAATGTGGGCATCAGGGAGGATACCCCACTTAGGTCAAGTGTGGTCAGGGTTAGCGCTACAGATGCCGACATTGGCAGCAATGCTGAATTTTATTACTCTTTCACCAGCAGAGCTCATCCTTTTGTTGTTGACCCTTTCACAGGCACAGTCAGCCTCATCAAAAAGCTCAATCACACCCGGTCGGAGAGATACGACCTCACTGTTTTAGCTGAAGACAGGACAAAGAAGATATCTGGTGTGCAGAAATTCGGTAATGTTGCCAGAGTCACAGTAAATGTACAAAAGATGTCTATGGGGTCTCCAGTTATCACAACTTCCCCCAAACCCACAGTCTCTACAGATGGCAAAATAACTATCAATGTCCACGTGGAAGCAGGAGTTAAGTCTGTGGAATCCCTTAATATTGTTGAAGGGGATCCTCACAAGTGTTTTGAGATAATCCCCTTAGGTGTGCAGGGCAGTGACTTCCAAGTGATCTCTACAAAGAGGATTATCTGGTCTCAAACTCCTTTTGGGCTGAATCTGTCCCTTCAAGCTAAAGACAGGAGCGCCCCAAGTTTAGTCTCTCCAATTGCACAAATCCACATTCCGGCCTATCATTACAGCCCATTGGCATTTTTGGAAGACACCTACATTGTCACATTGAGTGAGTTTTCACCTCCTAAAACTCATGTACTGAAGGTTTCTGTCACCGCAGTACCTTATAATGTTACCTTTAGTATCAAGAATAATCCAGAAAGCTCCAATTTCAAGATAAATCCCAAAACAGGGATTATCATAACAACTGAAAAATTTGATTATGAGAGAAAGGATCGATATGAGTTTGATGTATTGGCCAATCATGGTGAAGCAGAGACTCACATAGTGGTTGAGATAACAGATGAAAATGACAACAGCCCACAGTTCAGCCAGACTTCATATCAGGCCACAGTGGACGAAAACACCCCTGTTGGCAGCAGTGTTTTGAAAGTAGCAGCCACAGACAAAGATAAAGGCAAAAATGGCTTTGTGACGTATGCTATTGCCAACTCAGGCCCCTTACCTTTTACAATAGACCCCTTTACAGGTGTCATCTCAACCTCCGAACACCTGGACTACGAGCTGATGAAAAGGCGGTACCACCTTAGAGTTTGGGCTTCGGACAGCGGCAGCCCCTTCAGTCAGGTCAGCGAATGTCCCGTGACGATAACCCTTAACAACATCAACGATAACATCCCTCTATTTGAGAGGGTGGGCTGCAATACCACTGTACCTCAAGACTTACCTGTGGGGTACACAATCTGCGAGCTGTCAGCCATTGATTTAGATGAGCTGCAGCAGCTGAAGTATGTCATTGAGTCGGGGAATGAGCTCCAAGTCTTTGGTATTGACTCATTGTCAGGAGCCATCACCCTTAAGCAACCAATTCCCCTGCGAGCGGGTTCGTTCACTTTGAGAGTTGTAGCCACGGATGGGAAGCATCACTCGGACGCCTCAGTTGTCAGGATAACTGTCACTAACAGAGGTGACGAAGTAACGCTTCACTGTCAGGAGACGGGCGTTTTCAAAGAGCTAACGGATAAATTGATAGAGTCAATCAAACCTATTTTAACCAGTCAAGAGGAAGACACGTTCTCTGATATACACATCACCAACCGACACTCTCCCAAGTTTGACCCTAGCATTCCCAGTTCAATTGACCTCATTGAGGACCATCCGTTGAATTCCACCATACTTCAGTTCAAAGCAACAGACAATGACACTGGGTTTAACAGTAAGCTGGTCTATGCCATATCAAGCGGGAATGAAGATGGCTGTTTCTCCATTGACACTTTTTCTGGTGACCTTCAGTTAGTTTGCCCACTTGACAGAGAGAGTAAGGAGTTCTACATTTTGAACATCACTGTGTATGACTTGGGAACACCACAAACATCTGCATGGAAATTCATTGCAGTGAACATCATGGACGTCAATGACAACCCTCCTGTTTTTGATCAGCCCAGATATGTGATACGGGTGCCTGAAAACACAGAAGTTGACTCTATTATTTTTACAGCTCGCGCAATTGATCTGGATGCAGAGACAAGTGGTAATGTTCAATATTCCCTAATGACGTCTACTGACATGTTCAGAATTGATGAATTGACTGGCGAGGTCATTGTGACGCGTCATTTGGATCGAGAAACCTCACCCAGGCATGACCTCCAGATTGAAGCCAGAGACCAGGCCAGAGTGAGCCCACAGTTGTTCTCCATGATTGACCTTGTGGTTGTTTTGCAAGACATAAATGACAACCCACCCAAATTTGTACCCAAAGTTTACAAAATAAAAGTTCCAGAAGATGTCCCTGTGGGTACCCTTCTTGTCTGGGTGGAGAGCGTCGACTTAGATCTGGGCAGCGGAGGGCTTGTCACTTACAACCTCAAGAACACAGAGAGCGGGATCTTCCACGTCGACTCCTCCACGGGTGCCCTGACCCTTGAGAGGGACTTGGACTTTGAGAGGCGGCCATCTTACAACCTCACAGTCCGGGCTGTCGACCATGGCCTCCCTCGCTCCCTCTCATCCTCCTGCTTTGTGGAGATTCAAGTTCTGGATGTCAATGAGAACCTCTACAGGCCAGTGTTCTCAGAGTTTGTGTATGAAGCCAGAGTGATGGAGGATGCAGCAGTGGGGACATCTGTGGTAACACTTACAGCTGCAGATAAAGATCTGGGCAGGGATGGAGTCGTCAGGTACCACATCCATGAAGGCTCTGGTCTCGGAGTTTTCACCATCGATGAGGAAACAGGTAATAAACTGTGTTTTTACTATATTTTAATAGTAGTGGGTGGGAGGGATATGTACAAATTCAAACATGTAATTTGTCCAGATTAAATCAAAATCATCCTGTTTAGCCTGATACTATCTATATTATTGAAATGCCTGACTCCATCTGCCTGAATTGCGTGACCAGTAGAGCTCATAGAAGTGGATACAAGCTAATCATGTTGCTGTAATGCAGCTGCATTTTAAAAAGTAGAGAAAGAGCCTTTACTTTATTAATAATTTATGGTATAAATTGCTTCTCAGATGTTGTAGTCTTGTGATTATTCATTCAACACAGTTCCCCATTTTCCTGAATTTTACAATGTTAAATACAACAGCAGTAGCGTACTTTACTAATAATCAGCAGGTTAGGGTGACCTATGAGCATGCATGTTATGAAAGCACCAGCTGGAGTACTAGACAAACTAATTCAAACTATCTATTGTCCCTCATAGGGTCCATTAGTAGCTGTTCTTGAGCTTTGAAATTTAGATATTCGATTTCCATTTTTCTAAGAATATAAAGACCTCTCATCCATGTTGGCATGCACATTGAGATTAAGGTTAATACTTGACTTTGGAAACAGTGGTTGATAAAAGAATCTTACCGCAGGATACAATGTTGAATGGAAGACAAAATGGACATTTCAAAAGCTATAATTTTATACTAGAAACAGCCTTTGAATGAATCCCCCGGCTGTTTGCAAGGTTAAGAATGATCTTTCAATCCCTACATGGCTTTAATGTTTTCTCGTGTTTGAATAATAGTGCAGATTTTGAATAAATGGCAGCACTATTCACCTCTAGGTAAGTCAAAGCTCAGACTCGGGTATATCAACACAATGACATGCCTACACCATACTGTCATAGAAGATCTTCACAGCAATAAATTTTCTAATGTAGGTTTCCTAAAATGAGACACGTGCATGGTTGTATGACATGGTATTTCCTCTGGGGTAGTTAAGCATATCCTTTGCAGAGGATACCTTGCAACCTCTCTGCATATCATGTCAAATTCCATTATCCTGCTGCTGCACTTAAAGCTAAAGATATAATCAGGGCAAGTAGAGTTCTCTGTCATAATGAAACCGTGCTGAAATATATCCCTTTTCCTGTGTTGCTGGTTTTTGAGCTCTCCCTCAGGGTATCCATATTTTCAACTGTTTCTGAAGGCAAATGTGAAGAAAAGTCGATTTCCCTTGTTTTTACCACAATTACATTGTGGTAGTCTGCTTTGTGTATACCATAAGAACTTGTGTAAGTTTTGGCAACAGAAATATCTCCCAGGTAGCTAAGCAGAGAATGTTAAATATGTCCCAACCCACTTTTGGGCACTAATCCAGACTTTTTATTATGCAAACAGGCACTTGAAGCTTGATGACAGCCAAAGTGATTGATATTTCCTCCAGGGTGGTTACAGTTATTAAATATAAAGAATATGATAAGTAATTAATTCCAGAGCCACAACAAGAAGTTTGAAACAAGTGAATACTGCTGTGCTGTTCATAAGTAAAATCAATGTTCTATCACTTTCCCCACACTTTCATGTGTCTCAGGTGTGATTCGTACAACAGAGACGTTGGACCGTGAGACGATGCCTCACTACTGGCTTTCTGTCTATGCCACCGACCTGGGGACTGAACCTCTGATCTCCTGGACTCACGTCTTCTTGGAGGTCCTGGACGTTAACGACAATGCTCCAGAACTTTCCCAGCCGGTATATTTCGCGTCCGTCCAAGAGAACGTGGACATGGTCAAATCTGTTGTCCAGGTGTCGGCCAAAGATGTAGACACATCTTCTGAGGGGAAGCTTTCCTTCCAGATGCTGGAATCTCACCGGACGTATTTTGACGTTGATCCCAAAACAGGTAATTGAGAGTGAATGAGCATAAACATTACTGCTACAAAGCAGTTTCATTAAACATAGGAATCTACAAATTTGCAGTGTTGCCATTACAGCACAAGGCTTTCATTGTAAAACAGCTAATTTCAAAAATGTGTTATCATCCTGTTGTCAACCTCTGTCAACCTGTCTCATGGATAATGGAACCTCACTGACTTTCAATCCATAAAAGTGCACATACTTTCCACTATTACGCCTTTGCTTGTTTACACTGAACTAAACAATGGTATAATGCCGCCCCATTGTATGATTTTTAGATAGCATGCCGACATTCTTGAATCAGAGGCATGACTGGTAACACAACAGCTTTAGCTTCCTGTCCCGCCAATGGTCCTGTCTTGCCAGCTCTCCATTTTACGCAGACATGGATCCGACTACCTCCACTGCCAGCATAAAGGCAGAACAACAACGCCCCCCCATTCTTTGTACCTTTTATACAGAACAGCAAGGTGATATATAAAGCAAAAATTCCTTCTCATTATGCCTGATGCTCATCCTCTACTCATCAAACTCTGAATGTAAGCCTGCTTGCCAGTTAAAAAATCTAATATTATATAGGATAATTAATAAAGCCTGCACTGCAAAAAACATTGCATGATGATCAACAGGTAACTTGCCTATTCCCGATTAATAGCATAATAATTTAGATTACATTTTGAAATGAAATCATCTAAGCAGCTTCACCTCCACCTATAGATGTTGAAATATTCAGCTCAGCCCTGAATCATGTAAATGAAGATTTTATTGAGCTAACATACGGACAGGGACATATACATTAACTCTGGGATACAGGATGTAATTTAATCAGCCGTCACAGTGTCATCCTCCCGTTTCACGAGCAGTTTGGAGAGAAATACAGGCAACACGCTCCCCTCTGATTGATTTACATTTTGATTCAAACTCCCTTTGTGAATATAAGACATCTGGAGCAGCTCTTTGCTTTGTCTTTCACAAATAGCTTTGACATGTCTCTATATGTTGCCGTGTCCCTGTGGCAGATTTACATTTTGATTCAGAGCTATTACTGCAGCTGTAAAACCTAACAGTGCGTTATTTCTCACAAGGGAAGAGGTTGAAAAATGGTTGATATCTCCTAATGCACTGTTGCAAGTCTGAGTAGAGCAAGTGATGCAGAACCCCGGCAGGTCACAGAGAGCGCAGAGCTGAAAATAAAACTTCATAATGAGAAACTTCTGAAGAGGTCACTCACAAACTCACTCATCCGTTTCCTGATGGATGTGGAGTTAAAAATCTAAAACAGCAGGAAAAAGAAAGGAGAGAAAGATGCCAGTAACCCCCTCAGGTATTTGCATGCTCATCTTTGACAGTTGCAACTGAGTCACCTCGAACAGACTTTGATGTTCAATCAAATGAGCGCTACATGCTGCTACAAGCCCTGTCCTCTTCTTATAATCTCCAGGTTGGTCTAGTGTTTGCCCACGCCCTAAGGCCAGTATACTGAGGGATTACAGAGAGGGAGGGCAAATTGTTTTAATACTGAGACGTCACACAAAGGCAGGCAGGACAGGAGGTGTTGAAACAGCTGGAGAGTGTCACATTAAAACAAGTTTTTTTTTGTACAAAAGCAGGTGTATTTGATATTCATTTACTCATGCATACAAGCCCAGGATGAAAAGGGATATTGTGTCTGTGTGTACTTTTTACAGTCTGAGGATTTCCTAATGGCAAGTCTCATCTGTAGACTGAGGTCTTTTGAATGTAGATGACCTAAATTCTTGTTTAAAAAAAAACAAAAAAAAAACTGCTGAACTTTTTACTTAATTCTTCACTTATATGGGTTTGCATGAGACAATTAAAACAACACAGAACTGGCAGAAGAAGAAAAGACCTAACTAACCACAGATAAATATCAGGTAATAATTGAACTGCTTTCACAAAAAGAGTAAAAATTACAAATTACACAATAAAACTGAAAACTAAACTAAACTGATTTAAACAAGATTGTTTCTTGTAAAATTAGGTTGAAATTACATGAAATGCAACTTAAACCACATGCGAGCTCCACAAAGACAATATGTGGACAAAGTCATGTGGATACCCCCATCCACATATTTGTGCACTTTTGCTCTGAGGCTATTTTTCATAGTTGGTCTAATGAAGGGAAATCATACAGCATAAAATAATATTTTAGGCAACAGTGAATGTCCAACTTTTTGGAAAAAGATGGTTCGTGTCCCTTTCCTGTTTCAACATGACAACACCTGGAGCACAAAGCGGGGGCCGTAAAGAAATGGTTCTCCTAGTTAAGTGTAGAAGAATTTGACTTGCCTTTACAGAGCCCTGACCTGAACCCCATCCAACACCTTTAAGATGAACTGGAATGAGCTCACGCCTTAAAAATCAACATCACTGTTGGACCTCAATGATGCTCTTGTGGCTGAATTCAGAACAAAGTCCTGCAGCCAGGTCCCAAAATCTGGTTGAAGAGTGGGGGCTGTTATAGCAGCAGATTAATGCCCATGGTTTTCAAATTAGATGTTCAACAGCCAAACGTGAGTGTAATGTTTTAGTAAATAGTGTAAAGTGTCCACATACTTTAGGCCATGTAGTAGGCAGGAAAGGCATTAAGAGGATACGCTGAAAAACTATAGCAACTACTACAGAAAATCAGCAGACACTAAAGAATAGAAAAAAAAACTTGATATCAGCATTCACTGGTCAAATAAGTCCATGTCAAGGAGGGATATTGTGTTATTTTGCACAAATGTTCTGTTGAAACCAGCTCTTCCGAACATGATCCACCTTGTCTTATTTTCACAAATGCACCCACTATTACTAATGTACAGGGTGACTGGTGTAGAAACCTCTCGTGCCTCGACAGGATGAAGATGACTCATGACTGTATGAAGGTTTCTGTCGAAGCTTTTTACTCTCCTTAAGCGAGTATTTACTTCATACTGCAGCATAGTCAGTCTGATTCAACCTAGAGGAATTACTTGAAGTAAGTCTCAGGAGGGAAGGATGTGTGCTGAGCGACAGAAAGGAAATCTGAGTGAAATCTAGTCCGTTCTGAGTTTTTTTTTTTTTCGAGCTGTTGTTGCTTTAAACAAGTTGTTGTCTGACCCTGACAACAGGTTTGTGCAGGGAACAAGGGTGTGCCAAATTACCAAAATTACCGAAATTTGGTGTGTCTTTAGTTATGTAAGTTCAATGATGTGTTATGTTGGTTGTTGGCAAGGCCAGGCAAGCCAGGAATGTTCCCAATTCATTAGCATTTTCAAGATCAAATTCCTCAAATCACTGCACAGACTCTAAGATCCCCAGACTGATATGTCGTGGAGCAATACTGAACAAACGGAGAGCTGGTTATCATGAAAGATTAAGTCTGGTGATATTCCATATTTTTCATATTGTCAGTAAATACACTGAAAAGACCAAAACCAACAATGTATCTGCCGCTGAATCTGCCACTGAAAATAGTCCCCAGCAAATGCCTTCCTCCTGTTTTCCTCCTGTATGAATAGCGTTTGATAAAAATGACTATAAATGTATAAGCTAGCAAGTTAGGATAGTCATAAAGTGTTGAGAGACGGACTAATACATTGTTTTAATGCGATATGTTGACAATAAGAACAACACTGAATAACACCAGCATTATCCTTTAAACATTTTCTACCAGACATTATCTACCAGAAAGTCAGTTGACTCCAGTTGACAAAATAGAAATAGTTCCCTCACTTTGATGTTTTTAACTGAAGTCGATGGGTCATTGTGGTCCATATCAAGCAAATCTTTTTATATCACTCTGCATGCATCTCTCCATGGATGTTTGAAGCATTACAAAAACTTGCTGTTTGCTTCTGAATGCACCTTGAGACAGTGTGTCTGTTCAGAGTGGCTGCAGCGATCAGATATCATTGTGAGTAATTCCGACAAACGAGGCTGAGTGTTTTCCCATCCCAGATCTCTGATCAGATCAGATAGTTGTATGATAATGAAGGGCTTCTAAAGACCCAGTGTTGGCAGCTTGGGTGGATTAGTTCAAAACTGCCTGCTCCTGCAATTAGTAATGAACTGGGCCGTTTGCTGCTCTTTTCAGGGGCTCGTTTACCCACACAACTTCATTTGCATACATTTGTTATTGACAAAGTACTACTGCATTTTTAGTTCAAGAGAGAAATTCCCCTTCTAAACCAATTCAACTGAATTTGGACTCCTTCCTTGCAATCTTGATATCTTGAACGGTTTTTCTTTTCCTAGGAGTCTTAGTTTTCCTCCCCCTCCCTCACAGATTTAGTTGCTTGTGAATGCCAGTGTGTAATTTAAGATGTCTCCCTTGAAAATGTGATTCTGAGAGAGCTCACCGAGTGAAATAAAGGCAGCGTTAAAAAAGTAAAAAAAAAAAAAGCAATGATGGGAAGGGAGTTGTAGACTGGGAGTGAATCCAGAGAGAAAGACAAGGAAGCAAACAAACCGGGCCTCAGCATTGCCAGACAACACTGTTTATCTTCACGTGGTTTTGACAGCCGTCCAGCATGGCTGAGTGAAAACAGGCGACAAGGGAGAGACGAGGCTTTACCCCTGATTCCCATGTCTACGCTAATGACAAAAACACACTTTCTAATGTGTCCCACCTGTCCTAATGATGCCCTCCCAGCGGGGCTTGTTTGCACTGTTGTAAAAAGGACCCAACGACCCTCAGCAGGGTCTTTCACTCCACTTACGACCCCAAACTCTGTCTACAAAGAACAATTCCTAAATCGCCTCTTGCACAGAGTCCTAACGTCTTAACATTTTCTACTTAAATTCCTCAAAACTTGAGTGACTCCAGTGCTCGCACATAATATGCATTGTATTAATTAAAATTAAAAAAAAAAACTTTTTTCCTTGCAACTTCTTCCTTTAGTTTATACAGAAATATTCAGTTCTGTTGATCTACCTGGCAGTCTTCATACTTTTCTGTCAGGCTTTGGCACTGATATTATAATAATATTTATCTTTGAACTACTTGTAATTAAAATTTATGACATAAAGAAGCTCAAGCAGCATGAAGCTGTAATTATGCTTTCGTGTCCGCATAGCTACGACAGTTCATGTCACAAAAATGTTGTCAATAGTGCCCATCCATTTTGAAGTATATCAGACCCTAACTCTGCAGATGACATGTTTTTCTTTTGGAGGTTCCCTGCTAATCTCTGTTCATCCAAGTACTTCCAGCTACTTATTATAGAGAAAATTTCCTGGGGGAAATGGTGACCTGTTAGCACCACCTTCATAAAACCGGCACCCTGATCGAAGCCTCTTTGATCAAACTCAGTTGTCTTGACAAAATTTGTTGCAGCTACATTTGATGGTGCGGTAAGAAGGCGGGAAGGAAGGAATTACAAAATTACAAAGTACCTCTTGGCACAAGAGATAATAGGAATAGGAATAAACAGCCCATAGATAATAAAACATTGTGAATGCAGGAAGCTGTTGTTCGCACCTGGCCAATCACAGCTCGAAGTGGGTCTTACACAGACTCTCCCAGTTCTGACCGGTAAGATATTTGACCAACCTACAAAAACGTCTGAAGAAGCATACTGGCACCTTAAGGACCTGAGTTTGCTTCTAGTGAAGTGATGAAGTGTCAGATCGCATAACATTATCTGAAATTGCCTGTTTGAAATGTTCTTAGTATATAAAGCTGCCTTGCCTTGACAGTGAGAGACTAATGCTCACAAAAAAATCAAATGATGATGAAATGATACATTAAATATATTTGTCAAAAGAAAAAAAATAAAAAGAAGAATGCTTTATAGTCATTATTTAATCAAAAGTCAAGGTAAACAAGTGCGTTTTGAGATTATATTTAAATATATAAACCGTTGTGCCTGCAATGCAGATGATTTTTCATAAAGACCTTGTACAATTTCAATAAAACTTGTGAATATGTACTTTACTTTTCTTACATTTCTTTATGAGGTGACAGTCGATTAAAGCAGATTTTTATGTGTGTGACGGCAGGAAGTTGCACAAAAGGCACTGTAATGATTCTGTTGCTCCTGTTGTAACTACAAAATCCTCTCAAAATCTGCAAAAGCTGAAAAGTGTCAGGCTGACATAAAACCATGAACAATAGCAGGATCCATAATCATTTCACACACTCCTCCACAGTCTGACCCCCATTATTATCCCCCCAGCAATATTGGCAGCCCTCCCCTGCCAGCGTGTCTCTGCTGTCCCTATTAGAGCTAATAGCAGCCCTAAAACACTTCACTTAATTTATTTAGATTGGGTGAGATGAGGTCAAAAGATACTCTCATCAGCACAATGGGGAAACTGACTCACTGCTTCTGGAGAAAAAAAGAAAAATGTCGAAGCTAAATTAAACAGAATATGACAAAGTGGCAGCTTTGAATACAAAGCTTCTGCAGCAGAAAATATTTAATGAATTTATTTTTTATTTTTTACTAATCAACTAGTTTATTCTGTCTCCAGTGTTATTCTGCAGTTTTTGCATTAATACATTTAATTATGGCATATTTGTGGATATAATTGTGATGCCAGAGATGCCCATCATTTCCTGCTAATGACCAATGCTCTCCTATTAAAAAAAAAAAAAAGAATAAAAGAAGAAATATATATATGTATCTACTCGTGAAAATTCTTCAACTAATCAAGAGCCTAACAGGTGATTGATCAGTCTAATAGGAATCCTGCAATTTACATCAGTGTACAAATCCAGATGTTAAGCAAATAAAACATTTTGAATATGTATGTAATACATGCAACTCCTAGTTGTTAGCTGCTAGTTTTCAAAATGTTTTAACTTTCTGAGCCTAAAGTGAAATCTGAAAAGTTCAGATTTCCCAGTGAACAGCTCTGCAGCAGCCAAATGTGTCTGGATAACCTGCTGAGCCACATAGTTTATGTCTTATAGCAGGAACAAGCAAACTGTTAGAGATACAGACATGAACGCTGAGTCAGCCGCCAATTGAACAGCCTGTATTTATTTTGGTGTGTCAGGCGCTGAGGGCTCTAATAAGCCTGTATCAGTGGCAGATGTGGTCAGTCATAAAGAATCTGTGATTGGCTGTGACGATAATTTCACCTTATTCCCTCTCCAGGCTTATTTCATCTTATCCCGCTCTCAAGTAAACACCACAGGGACAGTGAGAAGCAAAACTTTAAAATGGCAGTTTTGAACTTCAATCAGACATGTTCCTCATTTTTATTTTATAAAGTAAGAACATTTCAACAGATCCACTATAGTGTCAAAAATGGTAGTTTACATAGTTTTGTTTGATCAGGAATATGTGGAAATTTATTGACAAGATCAAGTCTTCTGAATATTCGTTATCTGCTGTGTGCTGATATTATCTAGTTTGTAGTATATACAGCTGATGTACACACACTCGCACTGTACACACACAGGAGGACGTGCTTTTAAAAGGTGGACATACACAAACACACACAAATAAACCAGCGGAAACAACAATAACAACAGCAGAAACAACATCAACAGACCAAAACGTATTTGCTTAGGTGTGATCAACACTGTTTCTACACACACACACACACACACCTACAATAACAGAAGCAGTAACACCTCTGTCTGTGTTTATTTGTTTAGGTGTAATTAGCTCTCTCACTTCTCACACACTAACAGCATTGATTCTTTCTTTCTGTCCGTGCGTGCGTGTGTGTGTGTGTGTGCATGTGCGTGCGTGCGTGTGTGCGTACAGGTGTTATCAGCACTCTCTCAGCCTTGGATCGGGAGGATAAATCTGAGCACAGTATCGAGGTGAGACTCTTATAAACAACATTTCGACTTCCCTTCGGATTGAAGCTAAAACAGGGAAAAACAAATCCTGCTGTTCTATAATGCACCAGGGGCTCAGAGTATCACTAAATCCTTAACAATACACGTGTTTCAGGCTGCTAAAGACAAATTCATATGTTTGTGTTTCATACTCTGTATTTATAATTTATATAGTTTGAGTTAAAACAAGAATATAGAACATAAAGGAAAAAAGGCTTTAAAAGAACCCTTAAAAACAATATAAAATTTGAAACTCCCCTCATTGGGCTATGCAGCAATATTCTGGCAAATAAAATATAAAGTCAGTTTAAATCCCAATGAAAATGACATGAATTTACCATCTAATATTCATCTTGTCTGTGTTGAGAGTAAAGTGCATGAAAGTTTATTCTTGAGTTTCAGCTCACACTCTCTAGGTTCACTTAGTAGTTGTTTCCTGATTTTTTTTTTTCCTCAGTGGATTGAGTTTAAAATTAGTTATTAATTAAAGCATGGACAGAATATCATGACTATGATTTCATTAACGGGTAATCTTCAGATTACTTCTATAAAATGACCATAAAAATGCTAGAAACATTCAGAAAAAATGTAATTTACATTTTCTCAGAGCCTGCAGTTGATGTCGACCAACAGTCAAAACACTTAAGATTTTTAATTTCCTGTCATGTGACAAAGAAAAGCAGCAAATCCTCATATCTGCGAACCTGCAACCAGAGAATATTTGGCCTTTTTGCTTAAAGTGACTGAAATGTTTTGTCTGTTATTAAAATAGTTAATGATGATTGTTGTGTCGATCAACTTATTGATTAATGGACTAATCACTGCAGCCCTAATTCCCAGCATTTTGAACCATATATGAATTTGCGTTCACCCCCACTGTTTGCAAATGCAGAACAAATCTTAACAGAGAATATCTCAAAACATCATTAAACAAAACTTATTATCCTCTTTCCTTAGCAGGAGCAACTTTTGTGTTCTACAGGTAGAGTCGGAAAAACAGCAATAATTTCTGGGTAAATTACCCAGGTTCCAGTCACTCAAATGAATCTTGCCTAAGCAGCAATATGTAGTTTGCCCATTAGTACCACAGAAAAACTGTCTCTCACAGTCCCTTTTTATTTTTTTTTCTTAACAGAGAATCTAATTATTATGATATTGACCCTCTTCTTTTGAATTCTCAGGTGATCGTTTCAGATAATGGATCTCCGTCTTTGCGCTCCACCGCCACTGTTGTGATCCGAGTTCTGGACGCCAACGACAAGCGACCAAAGTTCACGGACAAACTTTTCCATGTCAGGCTTCCCGAACAGCACCACCAGGCGGGTAAACAGGAGGTCTGCAGGATGGTCGCCCGTGACGATGATGAGGGCTCAAATGCTGTTGTAACCTACAAGCTCCAAGACAACACGGATGAGCGTTTTGAGATCGACCCAGTGACAGGTGTGGTGACATCACATGGTGATTTCTGGCCTGGGAACTACAGTATTCTCACGGTAGGTGTCTGGAAGTATTGTCAGGTAATAGTTTTCTACTTTTTACACTGAGGTCAAGCAAACTGAAGCCAGATCTAATAAACCCACATGGAGTTTTGTGCCGTTTGTCTTTCATCAAGAGAGTTTGTATTTCAACACGCTTGAAGTAAATACTTTGTCTGAAGAGTTGTGCTTCATTAACGTGTCTCTGTGGAAGGTGTGGAGACTTTAAAGCCTTGACCGTGCCCACCAACACTGCTAAAGAGGCTAAATTACCCGTGCTTAATGCGCTGAAAGGCACTTCACTAACACCTGCTCTGGGACCAGTGAATATGTTCTCAGTCCTTGTCATCTCTGCATTGCTGAAGCCAGCAGGTTAATCAGCTGCAGAAAGGCTCTGTAGGATTTCAGAAACATCAAAAGACTGTTTTTTTTTTCTCCTCCTCTGACGTACAGAGCTGCCATTAAGAGTTTCTTTCTCGCCGTGTTGAGCATCTTTACAGATAAAGCAGGTGTTTTTCCATGTTTTCTTTGTGAACAAATCCCATGAAAAGAACAAAACCAACAGGGTGTGAGTCCATCCATCAATACTTTCACACTTCTCCAGTTTGTCTGTGACACTGGTTGGTACTGAAGATGTAAATCAGGAAGAAACAGTGAATTTGTTGGGGACTGTTTTCAGCAGTGGATTACTCCACATTACTCCATATTTTGGGCAGCAGAACAGTGATCATTGATGTGTTTCTAATAGTTTTTTGGCAACAGTGGCGCTCCATGGCTCAGAGGAATGAGATATATTAGTTCGTAGGATCACTTTATGGGAATTGTGATTTGCCGACATATCTGAAATAAATATAAAACATAGTAATATATTGCAAACCTTACCCTTTACAGTTAACGATATCATGAATACTGTGCCGTTATTTTTGTTTTCATTTTGTAAATAATATCTATGACTCATAATTATCATAATAAGACAAATTAGTTAAACCATTTTTATTTGAGCTATTTTAGCTACAATAAATGGGTAAAAATTTTATTTAAAAACTTCTATGAATCATTTCATCTTTGAAATGTCAAAAAGTATTAAAAATGACCATCCCACTTTCCCAGAATCTAAGGTAACGTCTTCAGATGTAATATTTTACACTTCTACACCTGAAGATATTTCATTTACTGTCATATACATTATGATGAAGAAGAAGCTGGAATCAGAACTTTTCTGGCATCTTTGCTTGAAAAAAAAGACAAATAATCAATTATCAAAATAGTCTTCAATTTGTTCTTTTTGATCAACTAATCGATTAATCATTTCAGCTCTTCTCAAAATACATCCATGGTCCAAACAATCATTTTTCAGAAATGTTAATTAAATTTCCATTTTAATTTCCAGATTAAAGCCACAGACCAGGGCAGCCCGTCACAATCATCCACGGCTCGACTCGACATCGAGTGGATGGGCCACCCACCCCCCTCTGCTGAGCCAATCACATTTGACGAGCCCCACTTCACTTTTGCCGTCATGGAAACGGAGCCTGTCACTTACATGGTGGGAATCATCATGACGGAGACTCATCGGCTGAGTTGGTTTGATATCATAGGTGAGGGAAAATGCACACACACACACACGTGCGTGCGTGCGCACACACACACCCACACACACACACACACACACACTCCCTGGCGTGTATTGAGCTGAGTATTGATCAGAAGCTGTTTGCTGTGCAGGTGTGGCGAGAAAAACAGAATAAACTTCAAACAAGCATCACACAAATGAGGGTAATGATCTCTGAAAGAAAACAAACGATGGATAAAAAATATATTAATATTTATTCCCATAATACGCTCAATTTGACAAGAAAGGGCAGAAAACAAAACAGAAAAATCGACCTAAAATCAGAACTCAGTCGTCACAGAATAATAATTTCTCATAGATCATCTCTGCTTCTGTCTGACTCCTGCAGCCAAGGCAAACAGCACAACATATTAGTAAAGGATATCTGACATTCACCATATTGCCACTTATACCAAAGTGCTGACTTGTAAAGCGTCAGCTCACACTGGAGAATACAGCGGGGTTATAGCCATCATCCATCCTTATGAGTCTCCATATAAACTGGAGACAAGTTATTTTCTAAAGGTCAGCAAAGTCCTGCAACAGTGAGTGATAATAGAGGCGGAGCAGGGTGGAGATAAACAATATGAGTGTGAGTTAAAGGAAGAAAATGTACTCTGATGTTTTTACTGTCACATAGCATCAGTCTGTGAATTTCAGTGTTTCCAGGGGTCTTTCTGTAATGAAGTGCTGCAATTTATTTCTTTGAGCAACTCCACTTTTTGTCAATCAGCCTCTTAAACTTCACTTAGTTGTTTCCTGGAACAGTTTTAACTAGTTTGCTAAAACTTGTGACAAGTGCTGTGTTCCTGGTTGTTTAGATCACCTCACTTTGTGTTTGTTAGCTAAACCTGCTGTTGCCTCCCTGTGCTGCCTGAGAGAATCAGGTCAGGGCTCAATCCTCTGGGCTACAGTGTCAGCTGGCTGGCAATTTATCTTTTCTAGCTTATTGTTAGAAACAAAACGATGGTGACCATGAGAGAGAATTTGGTGTAGAAAGTTCTGATTTACAATGGGCTTTGAAATGTTCTGTTGGAATGGTAATGGATCGTTTAATCCATAGAAAAGACAGTTTGCAAGACAGCTTTTTGACATAAAGCAGTCTAAGGCTTAACAGAAGTGGGGTGTGACTGTTGACTTTGGCTGACCCCATTCACCCTACATATCCAAGTATACCCTCACATTCGTGCACATACATGCACATGAACATGGACAAAAAAAGAAAAAAAGACAAAACCAAGGACATAAAACAGTGAATAAACTGTTTCCTGATGATTAAAACTTTCACAATTTTGCTTTTATAGTGTATAAATATGTATAATAAGTGAATTCTTTGACATATGCTTAGTACGCATGTAGTTTTCTGTTCTAGCAAAACAAATTTTCAGAGTTTTACAAATTATAGATAATGATAGAAACAAACAAAAGCTAGATAAATAACACAATCATGCCACCACAGAGGCTTAAGTGTTCCTGGAGTGATGGATGAAGCGAGGGAAAAGGGGGAGGAGGAGAGGAAAAAAAGGTCTTGGTGTCAGTGGTATCAGCAGGACGTTTTCTCTCTGCGAGGATAAATCAGCAGTGTTCCTCCTCTCATCACCTGCCAGATCACTGCAGGAGGGACAATGGCCATTCCTCCTTCTTCCTCCTCTCCCCTCTTGTCCTCTTTATCCTTTTCCCTCCATTCTTGCTTCTCTCAGCCCTGAACAGTATGAGAAAGACTTGTCACTGTCAGAGGGCTCTCTGAAAAATATAAGGCAAGAAAACGTTTCTGTAACTTAAGTGGAAATCAGCGCTCTGACGCCAGAGGTGTCGTTTGTCTCGTCCCCATTTGAGCCTCGCAGGAAAACACACTGGGGTTTGCCAGGCCGTTTCCTGCCAGGCGGGGCAGCATGTGCAGAGAAAGTCCGAGGTTCCTCCTGTTTGCTTTGCTGTGCCAAGCCTGATCCATGCCAGAACTCAACAGAACACAACAGACTCTCTCTGCATCCCTGAGGGGACGTTCAGTTGTCTCATAGCTGCTGCCACCGGATGTCTGATGACATTCAGGGTGAAATAAAATGCAGCGAGTACTCGACCAGTTAGAAATGTTCAGCATTGCAGACCACACCTCCCAAAGTTCATCAACCTTTGGCAAGTACTACCCCCTGACCAGGGACTTTTTTGGGGGTTGATCAATTACCTCTGAACTGAATTTAGACCCTGGTTCATGCAGTGGAAACGTGCATAGTTCCTTTAAAAGGTTCCTGGTTCCTGGGAAAGTTCCTGCGGTGGAAACACGGCTATGTCATGAAGCGAAGGTTCCTGATTGACCTGAGCAGACAGACGTACTGTTCGTTGCGTTGTCATCGTAAACATATTCCTCGTAAATAAAGTTTTCAAAATGATTTTAATGTGAAAACATGAGGAGAAAACAGATTGTGGTTGCTGGTCCAGGTAGTTTTCCAAGCAGAGTTATGTAACATTTCAAGATATTATCCAATGTTCTGTCCAAGAATTCTATCTGCAGAACAATTAGCAGCTGCAGCCACAGGATAAATGTAGTTAAGTAAAAAGGACGATATGATTTATATTTACAAGTACCTCCAAGCTGTTCTTACTAAACGTACGTCATCTGTTTCCCCCTCTGTGTGGTGTTATTTATTTTTCTGTGGTTGACAGCTCTGTGTTCAGTCAGTTAGAGCTGAAGTGTTTGTTGTAGTGTCTGATAATTGTGCAGCGTTTTTCTCCCTGTGTGGTCTGCGAGCATAACTTGGTAATTATCACTGATGGCTTGTCAACCTTCAGATCAACCCGTCGTCTTCTTCTCTTCTCTAAACTGTGCTTATGAAAAACCTAAAGCACCAACCTAATTTTTAAGCCTTTTTCACCTCATGAAGAAACTGGAGACAGACGGCCATGTTTTTATTCTATTTTATTCTATTTTCTTCCACCCCGGTCTGCTCCACAGTTGGGTATCACTGACCCTAATCACAGCCTTGGCAGATAAGGGCTGTTGTGTCACAGGACCCCTCTCCCATGCAGATATGATCAGATTTTGTCGTCCTGTTTTACCTCCCCCCTCTCCAGCAGCACAAACCAGATGCCTATCGACGCTCTTTGTCCGTGAGATAACTCAGAGAGACAAATTAAGACTTCCCGTGCTGTCAAAATAATTCAAACACCTCCTGTGAATCTGCACAAAAACAACACGCCGCATTGAGAGTGGAAGCACAAAATCAGCGACAGGATATCAAGTAGCAGGCGAGGGCTGCATCTCTGCCGTTTGTGGATGGATGCAGCGTCCCTCTGGCTTCACTGGACTGCGATCTCGGATCCGTGTGCTGGAGCGGGTCCCAGCTGGGTGTAATGTGGTCAGGATGAAGGTCAGCACCTGCAGGTCCCAGGCCGCGGCTCTCTGCTGGAGGACGAGGTTTGTCCCCTGCAGGGGATGGTTAAGCATCTGCTCTGAGAAGAGGAGTTCAGGCTCGGGGTCTGAATCCAGCAGGGTTTCCTGATAGCTTGTGATAGAAACACAATGAGAATGAAAACTACTTACATGAAAAATATAAAATCTTTTCCTTTTGAGTAAACGGTGGGGTTTCAGTTTAAGGTCCAACAGGTGGGCAATATGGTGATAAAGTAACATAATAATATTGCTAGGTAAATTCAGGAGGTTTTTCTTTTTCGCGCGAAAGTTCCTCATCTTGGAAATAGTAGTCTGACTGAATTTTGACTTTTTCCAGGGCTTTCAACCGCCTGTCATGTCCTTCATTAGCAGAGAAAACTGATAGAACTTCATTCAGTGATGAATAATGTGAGATTGGGTTGAAAGCTTTTTCTCTTTCTCTTTTTTTCTTCTGGAATACAGGATAGTTTAACTTCTTCTGGCATTTTAAAGTGATTAAAATCACCAGTTTGAGAAAGGAAAAATCCTTTGCTTGAAATGCTCATAGCTCACAAAGATAACCTTGATGAGGAGTCGAGGAGTTGAATTTGGATCATTTTAAAAGGTTGCAAGCCAGAAACATTGGGGACTACTGTTATAATTTGAGGGGGGGGGGGGATTAAGTTTACTATGACCCAAACCTTTAATCTTATAATTTGCAGCTTTTATCGATGATATATAATCCAAAATTTTGACTAAGGTTTTTTTTCTTTTTCTTTTCGCATTTATTTATGTTTTTTTCTGTTGATAGATTGACTGACTGGTTTTGGTATGAATATCCAATGTGCCCATTCAAGAAGTTGGAGTCAGAGAATATTTGATATTTTTCCATAGAAGATGATCAATGATTAATCAGTGATTAATCAGTTATCAAAATTGATTGGATAATTTGAGATATCTGACTAATTGGGTCTAGTTCTATTGATGAATAGCTGAAAAGCATTTCTATGGTCCATTTATGGTGGTGGAGCATAAATTGTATTTAGAGTTTGTGCTAATTCCATGAAGTTTGACTGTTTGTCACACTTTGGCAGAAGTTATTGCAGCAACATCGCACAGCAAGAGTCAAAGGAAAGAATCGATCTTCATCTCTGACCCTCACCATGTTGTCACAACCTCTGAGCAGTGACTCAAATAATACATCTGCAGATCGAATCGGAGAAGATGATTCTCTCAGCAGGAAAGTTGACCTCATTCTGCGTTTGCAGTGTGAGGTGAACAGGTGGCTGGTACTCTTTTCCTGAGCACAGCTTCTGAGGCAGGTCCAGTACCTGGAGGGGAGACCCTGAGGCAGACACAAGACAAGTTGAGGAGTTAAAGCTCCCTCTATTATGCCTCCAAGCAATTACTGGCGGAAGTTGCAGTAAAGAGGTACATCTGTTTTGTGGTCGTTTCAGCTTACCCTCCTCGACTTGCCCTGAAGGGGAACGTTTGCTGCCGTCTTCACTGATCAGTTATTCTGATGCACTGCCTGAGTTTGATCCTTTGAGGATCAAGGAACAACACATTGTTTCGATCAGTTCCTGTACCGATCCTCCATAATGGAAAAAGAAAGAAAATAATTCATACAAGCCGAGTCAAGCTTATTTCTGTAGCGCACTATAATGTAGGTCTCACTGGGTTTTACAGCAGCAGTTACTGCCCAGCCTGGGCTCTTCCAGAAGGCTCAGCAAAACTCATTACAAAATGCCCCAAGTTTTCCCCTTTTACCTATACATTTATAAAACAGATTCATAAATCCTCTGAAGGATTTTTTTTATTTTTTTTTGCTTTGCTCAAGTTCGAAGATTTTCATATCAGAGTATTATTTCCGCTGACCTTGTATGCCATCATGCTGCCTCTAAAATTCACTTTGCAGTAAGACATAATAAGAAAGATGGACAAGCCAGTAGTGTTTGTATCCACCTAACACAACCAGCTCCTCACACCTGACGGATGGATAACAATTTCAGTGAAATTCCCCTTTTCCTGTGTCGCATGACGTCCAGCAGAGCCGGAGATGTGCAATGCTGAAGCTGATTAGGTTGTTTTTCTTCTCATGAAAGGCTTCCTGGGTGCTGACGTGTTTCTTACAGGAAGTCAATCCAGGGATATGGAAATCTAAATCGTTTAAATAGACTTGTCAATGTGGCTAGTTAGTGTGCAGTGTTACAGCGCAGTCATTAAGGCGTGACTAACAGAAATAGACCTCTGGACGACCCGACTATCTATTGATTGGGAACAAACAGAAAAGATGAGAGTGGGTTTGTGTTCATGTATAATGTAAGAAAAGGAAAGACAACAAGGGAAAACAACTAGAGGCAGAAAATTAGAGAAATTTATAAAGCCTCATTGCACTTTTTGAATAAATACTATATACTAAAAAACCAGCGGCCTCAACCATCACATAATAGAAACATACGTGTGTGTGTTTGTGTGTGATCGGCCCTTTGCAAGGTGGATATCTTAATAAACACCATCTGGCTGAGCAGGCATGAGGTTTACCTTTCTCGCGTAATACATGCAACCTGCTGAGAGAGAGAGAGAGAGAAGTCAGGAATAAAACAGAAGGAAGGAGGGAAGGAAAGAAAGAAAAAAGGAGAGGATAAAGGAAGCAAAGAGAGAGGACCAGATGGACTCTAAAGTACAGTATGACTCATTTAGATGATGATGATTCAATTAGATGATGTAAGGAAGAAAAAAAAACAATCATGATTTCAGTCACTAAATGATCAGATACATCAGGATAAATAGAGTATATTAATAAAATGACTATGAGAACATTAATCCATATAAACAAGACACCCACTGTTGGCAAAAACAAGAAGCTGTAAGCAAGAAGGCAACTCAGAGCTCAGTTTTCATTTCATGATTTAGAGGGAATTTTATTAATTTTCTTAGCAGAATACACAGTGAGTACCCTTAAAGTCTTCCATATTTACCATGCGATCATTGTGACTTATGGATGCCGCCGTGATAAATCGTGATGAAATTCTGCGTGATGAGCCTTTTAAAACATTGATCTTAAAAATAAAATGTGGAAATGTAAAAAAAAATTCAGTTTTTGGACTTTTCTCTGTTGCTGGAAAAGTATATTGTGCACATTGGTCCTGTCATGAATGTATTTTTGGTGTCCTCTAAGCCACTGTTGGCTGTGCATATTTATATGCATGACACAATCATAAAAATTCATTAATTCATTCTGTTAGTTAAACTGGATTTCCTGGATCATATTTCAAGATAGATCAGATCATATTCATTGATTTAACATTTATTAATTTCCTCACATTGTCGTCCACCACTATGTTTGGCACGAGGACAGAAAACAGAAGTCAAGGTTAAACATAAACTTTTGAAATCAGATGGAGAAGTAAACAGTCAGCGGGTGTAGCTGCTATTATGGAGGGTCTGAGTGTCTCAGTTGGTTTCTCAGCTCAGTCTGTAAATAAGAGGCCATCAAAATGTCCTGCTGTGATGGATGGATTCATGTGAAGCAAAGAAAATCTATTTTACTCTCTCTCTCTTTGTTGTTCTATTTTAATTCAATAACTTTAACAGCATGAATTTATCAGAAAAACTCTTAACATTTTAACAAAATGCACATTTTCAGAAGTCAGTTTCTGTTATTCAAGCCAGAGTGAGATTTTTTATTTGTGAAGTCAGTTTTATTTATTTGGTCCGTACCACAATTCACAAGTTTGCTCTATGGAGCTTTATAATCTGTACATCACAGGACAGCCTCTGTCCTTAGACCCTTAATTCCAATAAGGAAAAATTCAAAAAACTCCAAAAACCCCTTTAACAGGACATTTGCATTTTGCTGCAGTACATATTTATATTTACAAATAACCATAAAGAGTTGAAAAAGCTGGAACATGTAGTCAGAGAAATAATTTAAATGCATGATCTGTAAATATTTCCTCCACCTGGGACTGAAGCTGAAGAAGTTTCGACTTTTCAAAGTTAGAAAGTGAATCATTAATAATAGCGCCCCCCACAGGGAAATCACAGTGAGTCTTCATATGCTAGAGGATGATGCCAAGATGCATCATTGCTGCAACCAGTCAAAATCAGGCCTGCAGAGTCTGACATATCATCTGAGATATTACATCTGACAGCTGGACACGGTCTGATCCATAACCCCACATACTGTAGCCTCAGCAGCAGATTGAATGAACTTCTTTTTTTATTTCTACCTACCTGTCTGTTCTCCTCATCTTCTGTGTCTCAGGTGGTGATGAGGAAAAAGACTTTGACATCCAGAGGAATAGTGGAACCATTTCGATTGCCCGCCGGCTCGATGCAGCTCGTCGCTCCAACTACAACCTGACAGTGCGGGTCAGCGACGGACACCACAGCGCCACCACGCAGGTGAGAAAAAAGCATAAAAAAACATTTGTACTTGTTAAATCTGACCCTGGAAATAAAGGCCTTTCTTTAGACTAACTAACTTTAGACTTCTTGGGTTTGAACCAGACCATCCTTGTTTCCTGATCCTGTATTTACAGTTGGCTTATTGGGGGTGCAGCCTGAACCTGAAGTGAACGAGTGATGACACCTCAAAGTCACTGTTCTAATAAACCCACTGAGCTGAACCAGCTGCATTAAACAGAAAACATCCAACAACTTTATTTATGTTCTCATTTGATTTTGAAAATCTCTGGTTTAGAATCTAATCTTAATTCCTGCAGGCAGCAGCGGATCAGGTGCTACATGTAAAGCAGCTTTGAAGAACCAGCTTCCATATTTAATGTCTCTCATGCTGAGCATCTATTTTCTCAAACCCTGTGTGTTCCGTCTCAAAACTACAGGCCTACATCCGTGTGGTGGACATGAACGAACACCGTCCGGTCTTCCTGAAGCCACTGTACGAGGTGAGAATTGAGGAGAGATCCGATAGATTGTCATTTGAATACAGAATTTTGAGCAGAGTTTACAGGTGGGTTATTACAGCCAGATTACCTAAGACGACATTCTTTACAGGTAATTAACTGTATGTCAGAGAAGCAGCCAGGTGTGAAAAGCAGCTGAGTACTTTTGTCCCTCTATAATCACAAGAGTGAAAGCCTTAAACAAGCTGTTTGTAGGGGCTTTTTTTACAACAAAGCTGTCTAAACAAACCAACTTTTCATCAAAGACTATGCCAGGATTTCTCAAAACTTGTCCTTGCCATGTCCCCCTGTGGAAACTAAAAAATAATTTTAACAGTAAACCTGAGAGCAATGTAAGATTTGTCATATTTTAGATGTGGCTTACATGTTGGATGAGCATCACTTGTTCTTTCTCTCCTTCTTTTCATGAACTCTATTTGGGGGATAATCCTGATCCATTTCCCATAATTTGGGGCCTTTGGGAAATGTAAACAGGAAGTATAACATGACCATGCGTTCAGTGACATAGCCGTCTGCTACAGCTTGAGCCTTATGTTTTTTTTTAGCTTATATTTGTTTACATTTGGGCAAACTGGCAACATCTAAAGTGCACTGAATTAGGTATTAGCGGTTCCTGTTTGCAGTGTACCCATGGATTTACAAACAGTTCTCACTGCATTCCTTTGATACTGTAGAAAGCTTAAAAACGTGATGACTCTCAGGATTTATGGCAGTGGACTTTGGAGATGATGATATCCTAAAACAAAGTCAAACTGGATCTGAAATTATGTGTATTGTATCTTTGTGTTCAGATTTAACAGGAGTATGATTTTTGATGCAAATTGTGGGTTCTTAAGGTTTTAAAGTGTCCTGACTGTCTTTTCTTCCCTGACAAAAGTCTGTCCGTCTTATACTTCACACCATCTTACACTATACCATACTGTCACGCTGAGTGGTCATAGTGTTGCTCATAATCATTCAATTTAAGATGCCCCTCCTGTGATGGCTTTATGCCCCCCAGTTTCAGAAACATACAAGAAACTCTCTCTTTTTGAATTTAACCAGATAAGATTTGGTTATTTTTAATTATTTAAATTTTTAGTATTAAAATTGTTATTTTTCTTAGCCTAGTCACTTGCCTAAAGTCTGTTTGGTTTCTTTAACTTGTATATCACGTAGTTAGACTCTAACTCCTAATCTTGATCCTGTCTGTCTATATTGATTATTCCCATTAAGGCTTAATTAGCCATGCTTTATTAATTTCTGTTGTACTTGTGGTAACCAAGGAACTAGTTGCAGATTTATTTAAAAAAATATATAACTTTAAATGTTGAGAGACTATTAAAGTCTCCTGCCACCATTCTTTACTGTGATTATCAGGATGTCCATCAGACAGTATAAGGCTTCTGCATCACTGTATTTTTCTTAATCACAATAATCAACAACCTCTTTGGTCCTGTCTCTGCTCTTACAGAACAAATTCTTGTCCTCAAAATGTTTCTGTCTTCAGTCCAACCACTGTTATGAATTAAAAAAAATTGTCTTCAAATTGAAATGTAAAAGTTAAACAATTCAGTTTCATATCTATTTCTCAAACCCTGTCTTTTCCTGTGTTTGTTTTGTTTTATTATCCTGTAATAAAACTTTTTAAAACTTATTTCCTTGTCTGTTCCTGTGTAACTTAAGGTGAGGGTTCCCGAGGATACCTCCCCGTGGAAGGACATCCTGCAGATCAGCGCTGAGGATGCTGACACCAACAGTAAGCTGGTGTACTCCATCCACAGCAGCCTCCATCCAGACAGCACCAAGTTCTTCCACCTGGACCCAAAGAGTGGAGTCCTGGTGATGACGGAGGAGCTCGACTATGAGATGATCTCTGTTCATACTCTGATCGTGATGGTAACGACACAGTTATCTCTGCACAATACAGTAGAACTGAGTCTTATGAAAATACCTGTAATGTACACAAGCAAGTTCTTGTTCTAGTAGCTCTTTAGGAGCTTTCCATCGTATCACATGATCTTCCTCAGTAGATTGAGTTTTTCCAGTTGTCACAGAATTGTAGAAATCCAATTTTCATTTCTTTTAGAATTAAAAATTATAGCAATATATGAAATACAGCTCAAACGGCTTTACAAAAATCTTTGTCTTGCATTATTCTGTAGTGATTTACTATAATTACTTATTTATTTAATAGTATTGTTCCATCGTATCACATGATCTTCCTCAGTAGATTGAGTTTTTCCAGTTGTCACAGAATTGTAGAAATCCAATTTTCATTTCTTTTAGAATTAAAAATTATAGCAATATATGAAATACAGCTCAAACGGCTTTACAAAAATCTTTGTCTTGCATTATTCTGTAGTGATTTACTATAATTACTTATTTATTTAATAGTATTGTTTTTTTTTTATCTTATCTTATTATATTTTTAACTTTTCTGTGAAAGCACTTGGTCAACATTACCACTGCGGTCAACTTTTCATGATGCAAGAAAAATAGCTTTTCTCCTTTTTTTTAATTAAACGGCTTTTAAATGGTTTATTTATCTATTTAGCTGAAGAAATCTTCAACCTATAAAGAAACATGATATTAAGTCTTAAGTCAAGACTGAAGTATACTTGAAAAGTTCAAAATCACCAAATTGGAGTTACTTGGTTTTCATGACACTGCTGCATTTAAACATGCTCTGTAAATAAATTAAACTTTATTTGACCTTAGATTAAATCAATTTACCAGAAAGAACAGACATTAAAACAACTTTTGATCGTTCATAATGCACCTACAAAGAGGAGATAAGTCAAAAAGACCAGGAAAAAAGCTTGAGAAATAATCTCTTCACTCATGCAGCATAACAACAAATAAAATGCATGTATCAAAAAGCAATGGTGGTGTACTCATTATTTTATCATATTTTTCATTATTTTTGTCCAGCAGTTGTTACTATAACAGCCCTAACAGTCTCTTACCACCACAGACACAAACACTTTTCCTCGCTCCTCCTCAGGTGCGTGACCAGGAGATCCCTGTGAAGAGGAACTTTGTGAAGGTGGTGGTTCATGTGGAGGACTGTAACGACCACTCACCATCTTTCCTCAGCCCTCGGTATGAGGCCAGCATCTCAAACCTGGCTCCTACAGGCTCCGAGGTCGTCCACGTCAAGGCGCTGGACAAGGACATGGGCAGCAATGCCGACATCAGCTACTCTCTTCACTCCGGTGAGCAGCAAAGGGGTTATTTCTATCTTCTGTTTATGCCTGCTCATTTTCAGCTTCACTCTGCTTCACATTCATCCACACAAATATTCACACCTGGGAGCTGCTAACCATTTTCTAATGTTGACCACTGGGATCTGCCGCCGACAACCACAGCCTTCTAATGTCAACCTGGCTCCACTGAAGGAGCGGGTTGAAGGTTACGATAATGATACCTGAGAAAGGGCAGAGTTTATCTCAATTACCTTCCCTGCCATGATTTCTGTTTTGGGATTTGAATTTCAACCTTGTGGTCTCAGTCCTCCATTCGCCTCCATCACTTCACTGCCTCTCTCTGCTTCTCACACCGAGCTAAAACATCTTGACCTTCTAAGAGAATGACTGAGGCATGCAACTTGCATTCTCTTGCAGTAGTATAGCATTTATCCAGGGGATATTGCTGATCATGTATGATCAAAGCGGTTGGAAAATTGTGTGGCAGAGGCGCACAGCACCAGCTGCTCTAGAGGAACACATTATGCCCGCTCAGTGTTTTATACAGCAAAGAACATCCATCTTAATAACTAATGCGGTCTCAGATTCAACCTGTAAGACTTTTCTTTCTTAAAACCAGAGAAAAAATGGTGAATAGTGTGAGATAAATGTAACTGTTTTCAGAGCTGTGTCTCTTGTTGAAATGCAGTAGACAGAATAAAGCTGATCAAATCAATGGCACTTTTATCAATAAAAATCTTGACACAGATTGATATTGAAAACCAGTGAGTTAAATACAAAAAAATACAAAGTTGGAGCCAGCAGCCAATTAATTTAGCTTCGCACAAATGCCAGAAACAGGGGGAAACGGCTAACACCTAAAGCTGACTAATTAATATGTTATATCTCATTTGTTTAATCCATACAAAAAACCGAATTATAAAGATGACATGTTGCTGTGGTTTTATGAGCTATTTTGTGAAGGACAATTTTTTTTTAGCCAGTAGCAATGTCTTCCAATCTCTCTCATTCCTGGGCTGCAACTAACACATTTTTTTCATTATCTATTTATCTGTGGATTATTTTCTCGGTTAACTGATCAATTATTTTGTATATAAAACATCACAAAAGAGTGAAAATTGCTCATCATTGTATCCTAGAACAGAAGAAAATGTCATAAAATGTCTTGTTTTATCTGACCTATAATGTAATGCCAATGAAAGCATTGAATTCTCCCATTTGAGAACCTCTTGAAAAATGACTCAAACCCTCAATCAATTACTAAAATATTTGGCAATTCATCTAATCAATTACTTGCAGCAGCCTTAAATTATTTTATTGTTTTACCATAGCCCTGTGTAATCCAAAGAATTTCTAATGAAATCTAATGGAAAAGTAGTGGACCCCTGCCTTCGGGATTATGGTTTTTGAGTAGTTAATTTGTGTAACGCATTATTTCCTCCCCTGCAGGTAACATCGACAACATCTTCTCCATAGATCCAGAGATGGGCTCCATCAGTGTTTCTAAACCTTTGGACCTTCAGCCTCAGGACCAGTTCCACTTGACAGTGAAGGCCACTGATCAGGGCTTCCCTCAGCGCAGTGACATCTGCTCCATCCACGTCCACATCCGCGTTTCCGACCAAACCCCACCTGCCTTCCCTTCAGATGAATACTTAGCAGAGATCAGTGAATTAAGCACCTTCAGAACGCCAGTGGTCACCATCTCAGCTTCCAGCCCTGCTGCACTTCATTATGGGATAGAAAGTGGTGATCCTAATGGGACATTTCACATCAACCCCTATACTGGGCTGATTTCAACCCAAAAGCACCTTGATTTTGAGAGCTGTGCCTCCTACAAGCTCAAAGTTACAGCTTCCACCACAGCTGGAGCCTCGTCCAAGACTGTCGTTTACATCTACGTGATTGACGAGAATGACAATGCTCCTGTTTTTCAGCAGAGGGAGTACTTAGGGCAAATAAGTGAATCATCTCACATAAACAGCATGGTGATGGGAGAAAGAAACACCCCTCTGGTCATCCAGGCTTCAGATGCAGACAGAGATGCTAATTCTATGTTGGTGTATCAGATCCTTGAACCAGAGGCTCTGAAAGTCTTCAAGATAGACTCAAGTATGGGCACCATCTCTTTAATTTCACCAGTTGACTTTGAGGCCAGGGCCAAATATCACTTCACGGTGCAGGTAAAGGACTCGGGGGAACCATCACTGTATGCAGCAGAGCCTGCCAAGGTCACCGTTCACATCCTGGACCTGAATGACTGCCCGCCACAATTCACCACCCCAGTGTACGAGCCATCCATCATTTTCCCAACTGTCAGAGATACAGAGGTTGTGCGCGTCATGGCCCATGACGCCGACTCGACAGTCTCATACAGCATCACTGAGGGGAATCTTCACAATGCCTTTTCAATTCACCCCAGTACTGGAGTCATTAGCATGAGCAATGTATCTGAATTTAGGCCATTTTATCAACTGGTTGTCAAAGCCTCTGACGGCCTCTACAAAGACTCAGCTACTGTCATAGTAAATGTAACAAACCTAACAGCAAGTGATCTTGGATTTGAGCAGAAAGTGTATTCAGCAAGCATTACAGAAAACCTGAAGACAGTCAAAATTTTGGCGGCTCTAAAAGCTACAGGTTGTTATTTAAATGAGCCTCTTTTATATTCTGTGGTAAACCCAATGGAGAGGTTTGCAATTTCCCAGACTTCAGGCGTACTTGAAACAACAGGTGTCCCTTTTGACAGAGAGGAAAAGGACCTGTATGACGTAGTGGTGAAGGTACAAGACATGAGAACACCACCCAGGACGGCTACAACTCAGGTCAAGGTTTTTATAGACGATGTCAATGACAATTCTCCCCAGTTTCTAAACTTGCCATTTTCAATGATGATATCTGAAGACTCTGAACCAGGCGATGTTTTGTATCAAGTAACTGCCATCGACAGAGATTTGGGAGAAAATGGATCCATCATGTATTCACTGGAGGAGGACTACGACCTCTTCAGAATAGATCCCGATGTAGGCGACGTGTCTCTTCAGAGGCCTCTTGACTTTGAAGCCCTGAACAAGTATGCATTGACGGTCTTGGCTATAGACGAGGGTGAGCCCACTCACAGCACAGTGGCACAGCTAACTATTCAAGTGAGGAATCGAACCAACCCAGTTTTCCAGACGCTTCTTTATCCGCTGAAAGTCCCTGAAAATGTCCCTCCATTCACCACCATCTTACACGTTCAGGCCAGAAATCCAGAAGGCTATCGGCTCATCTACAATCTTGAAGAGGAAAATGCCTCAAAACACTTTCACATTGATTTCAAAACAGGCGTACTGACCGTCACCAACCCCCTCGACTACGAGAGTCAGACCATGCATGTGTTGACAGTTCGAGCTACTGACTCTGTGACCGGAGCTTTCTCCGAGGCCTCAGTAGAAATAGAAGTGGAGGATGTGAATGATAATCCACCAGTTTTCTCGAAGCTAATGTACAGGGTGAGCATTCCTGAAGGGCTCCCAGTTGGCACGTCAGTGATCCAGCTGTCTGCCTCTGACAGGGACTCTGGCAGAAATAAAGATTTGACCTACAAGATGGTGAAAACGGAGGGGAATGAGACTGATTTCTTTGAGATCGACCCTCAGAGTGGGTTGATTTTCACAAAACAGGTGCTCGATCATGAAAACACAAAGCACTTTAATTTGAAAATCAAAGCCACTGACAACGGCACTGTTCCTCTTAGTAGTGAAGCCAGTGTCTTTGTAAATGTCACAGATGTTAATGACAACCCGCCCGATTTTGTCAGCTCCCAGTATGAAGCCACACTGGATGAAATGGCAAAATGTGGCCACATAGTCATCAAAATCCAAGCTTCAGATCCCGACACTGGCGACCTGAATAACCTCAAGTACAAAATCCTCTCAGGGAACGAAGGCCGTTACTTCAACATCAACGAATCCTCAGGAATCATCTCTTTTTCTAACGTCTGTAAGAGGAATCTGGATCCTTACTATAACCTGACAGTGGCGGTGTCTGATGGGGTGTTTCAGAAAACGGCACCAGTCAATATTGACATGATTAACAGCAACAGGCATAGTCCGTACTTCAAACAGAGCATCTACGAGGCAGAGCTGGCTGAAAATGCAGAAGCCGGAACTCGCGTGATCCGATTAGCTGCCATTGACCCCGATGATGGGCCCTATGGCAGCGTAGACTACACCATCATCAACAAACTTGCTGATGAGAAATTTGCTATCGATAACAATGGGCAGATTGTTACGACACAGCCGTTGGACAGAGAAAACCCAGCCCAGAGAGTCATAGCTATTAAAGTGATGGCAAAAGATGGCGGTGGAAAAGTGGCCTTTTGCACAGTCAAGATTATTCTCACAGACGAGAACGACAACGTACCTCAGTTCAAAGCGTCAGAATACCAGGTTTCAATTCAGTCCACTGTAAATAAAGGCTCCCCTGTCATTCAAATCATGGCTTACGATGCAGACGATGGCAAAAATGCCGATGTCACTTACACTGTAGACGAAACCGAAGAAGTCACAGAAGACATCATCGAGATCAACCCTTTCACTGGAGTTGTGAGCGTCAAAGAGAGTCTTGTCGGCATGGAGAACAAGATCTTCAACTTCAAAGTCAAGGCTCGTGACGGTAGCCTCCCGTTCTATAACTCCACAGTCCCAGTCCAAGTCAAAGTGGTTCCTCCTGAGGTCCCTCTTCCGAAGTTCTCAGAGCCCCTCTACACCTTCTCAGCTGCTGAGGACATCCCCATAGGGACGGAGATAGGCTCTGTGAGGGCCGACTCCGACATGCCTCTCATTTACAGCCTGGTGAACGGCAACACAGTTGAAAGCAACAAAGACAAAGTTTTCACCTTGGACAAAGAAAGTGGAACTCTGCTGTTGCAGAAGACCATCGACCATGAAAAGACAAAGTGGTACCAGATAGACGTGATTGCCCAGGGGAACCACAACGGGACCGACGTGGCATCGCTGGTGTCTGTCAGCATCCAGGTCCAGGATGTGAATGATAACCAGCCAGTGTTTGATGCAAGCCCATACAGGGCCTTCCTGGCTGAAAACATGCCCGCTGGAACCACCGTTATTCAGGTGAGATATCGATTTGGCTAGAGACGGAGTTTAACCATGTGAGTTATAAAGCAAAAGGCTTTTAAAAGAGTCTTTTTCATACACATTGAGGAGGAGTTCTATCTAAATAAAATCCAATATTAACAGTTGATTGATTAATTAGTTGATTCAGTTGATTAAGAAGGGAGCCATTTGCTGTTTTTATCTGCTTTCACTTGTAAACAGCTACATAAATGTAAACATTGCTTGCAAGTCAAAATGCAACCACTAACCGTTGTTTATATTGACCCGCAGGTCACCGCCAATGACCCGGACACAGACACCAATGGTCTTGTAACCTACAGCTTGGAGTCACTGCCTGACGGCACCGCGACCGACATCACCAATGTGTTTTCCATCGATGGCGAGAGCGGCTGGATCACAACTGCACAGGAGACGGACTGCGAGGCAACCAGAGTCTACAGGTTCAGTGTGGTCGCTACAGATCATGGCGGCGACAACAAGCTGTCATCCAGCGTCCTGGTGGAGGTGACGGTGACGGACGAGAACGACAACCCGCCGAAGTTCTCAGACGAAGTGTACCGCGGCTCGGTGGTGGAGAACAGCAGTCCGGGTGAAGTCATCATCTCCATGACGACCACAGATGCTGATGTGTCTCTGGAGAACCGGCTAGTGACATGTTACATCACAGGTGTGTTTGTCTGAATATGTGTTTAGGAGTATGTGCGAGTCATTGGATTTGAGACTGTGAATGTTGTTGTTTTTAGTCATTTGTGCAGGTCACTAGGTGTGTGTGTGTGTGTGTGTGTGTGTGTGTGTGTGTGTGTGTGTGTGTGTGTGTGTGTGTGTGTGTGTGTGTGTGTGTATACTCACCCGTCACCATATTTGCATGGTCTTATCTGAGAGTGAGCGAGTGTGTCTATGTTTATCAGCCAAATTACTTTCCCGTTGAAGATTCGCTGCACTGTGGGATTTATCAAGACATTAATGAGGTGAAATGAAATATCTGTTAATTGTGCAGTCATAATTTTAGATTACTCAGTCACAGATAAATAGCAAAGAAACACAGGTTGACAAGCTGACAAGGCAGGAATACAAACTGGATATCCTGCGGCTAACAACAAAAACAAAGCCTTGAATTAATGCAAAACTTCTATTTTCCTCCAGTCAGTTAAACTCATACCCTTCTAGAGGAGTTTGCTGTCACAACATTGTTTTTGGAAAGTAACAGAGGAATATTTGCATTGGAATTATTTATAAATGGTAGGGTTTGTCTGATGCTAACATTGGCTTGTCAAAAAGAAACAAAAACAGAAGCAAACATTAAAGTTGCCCTTAACCAGAATGATTGATGTGATGATTTTATTTATTCAGGAGTCTGTCTACAATGAGGCTGCCTCACACAACAAAATTCAAAATTCATTGCTGTCATTTTTCGTCAGGACCGTTGGCAGGGTTTTAAAAGTACTGAGGTCTGGACTAAATTTCTCCCTTGCAACTCAACCACCTGAGAAAGTTTTGACTAAGCACAAAAATACCCCATTTCATTGTTCAGTTATATATTCAGATTTTTTTCTCACAGTTTTCTTACAATGATCTCAGTGCTGTTTTAAAGACATCCCCACAATTCACAAAGTAATACAAGAGTCGGCTTTAAAATACCACCATGGGGGGGTAATGTGTTTGAAGTTGTACCATATAAACTCCTCCTCAGGTTACAGTTACAAGTCTTGATGTCCTTAGTGGTAGTTATTGCCCAGTTTTTTCATGTCACATCATAAATTGATCAAGATTTGATCTACGTTAACATGTCTGTGAATACTACTGTAAACATTTGCCCTTTTATTTATGGTAATATTTCCATCATTGCGACATTACCCTGACTTACAATGAGCATGTGTTTGAAATTATTGAAAATTTTATCCATTTATCTTAAAATATTGGCCAAAATCTGAATTTTATTCTGACTGTGAATAAAGTGATCAGTGCAACTTTGTATGAGGGAAAAGTTAGATTTTTTTATTTATTTATCCAGTACCGATACCATAGTGAAATAACCTTAATTTTTTACCTTATTTCTTTTACCTTTTGCTAAGTGTTTGTGTTTGCACCAAACCTTGGATCGACTATAGCCATTTAGATTTTAAACCTTCCATTTATGGCAGTTTTATTTTGATGGTGTAAGTAAAGTTTCAAAGGCTTTTTTACAACGCAAAGAGTAAAATGTTTGGGGAATCCCTACATAATTGATATTTGATAGACTCAAGTACAGCTATAGTTCGAAACTCAGAATCAGCCTTCAAGAGTCTATAGCAGTTAAACTTTAGTGCCTAACATCCCAATCCACTGCGGTAGCCTGTACTAATTCCTTACTTTACTGTTCCTTCTAGTGCCGCAGGCTGTTTATGGACAGCAGCACCTAACAAGTGTTATGTCACTGCCAAAGAAAACCCAGACCACAGTTTAACACATCCGTCACCAGACCTGTGTGGCAACTTTTGACAGCTGTCAACTTTCCTTTTTGAGGTTGAAGCATTTATTCAGTGAGCAGAACCGACATGTAGTGGCTCCATCTGCACACGTCACGTGTCAAACAAGGTGGCTGACTGGCTATGATGCAATGTTCTGTAACATACACACTGATGGGCATATTCAGTAGCCAGTGTCAGCTGTCAACAGTTAAAGTTTTCATTTCAACGATAAAAGTTTGTGAGAAAGGAAAAGAAAACAATGATTGGAAAGTACTCGGGTGAGTCAGTCTAATGTTAAAACATCGCCCACAACAGAAAGCTGAAAAATTACTGAATTATTCATCAGGAACAACATGGCTTCAGTACTCGATATCAAAGACTCTTCTGTATCACATAAGCTAAGTGTGGATTCAAAAAAAACATATTATATATAATATATAAACATATATATATATATATATACTGTATATATTACTCAGAATAAGAAGGTTCCGGGTTCGAGTTCCGGCTCGGACGCGGGGTCTTTCTGTGTGGAGTTTGCATGTTCTCCCCGTGCTTGTGTGGGTTCTCTCCGGGTACTCCGGCTTCCTCCCACAGTCCAAAGACATGCAAATGGGGACTAGGCTAATTGGTTACTCCAAATTGACCATAGGTATGAATGTGAGAGTGAATGGTTGTTTGTCTCTGTGTGCCCTGCGATGGACTGGCGACCTGTCCAGGGTGTACCCCGCCTCTCGCCCGAAAGGATGCTGGGATAGGCTCCAGCCCCCCCGCGACCCTACTAGAGGATAAGCAGTAGAAAATGGATGGATGGATATTACTCAGAATGTAATGTAGTGTTACAAAGACACTATAACAAAAGCAACAAAGCAAACAACAAATAAGAACTCTACAGTTTTACTTTTTTGTTTTTTGTTCATCTTTCTAGGAAACGATTCGAGGATATTGATTCTATTTTTCACTAACCCACTGGGTGATTTCCTTTTTTTTTTCTTAAAAACTTAAATATGACAAGTACGTACTTAATAACTGTAGCAATTAACACTCTCTCAATTTCCCATATAATTAGTATCAAGCCAGCATATTTTTAGGAAATTAGAATGATTTTTTCTGGCAAATTATCTAGAAAATCCAGGATTACCTCTTAGTTCTTCATTACTCCTGCAGGTGGGGACCCGTTGGGCCAATTTGCCATCATCCAGGAGGACGAGGGCGAATGGGGATTGATCGTGAAGGAACGTCTGGATCGAGAGACCAAAGACAGATACACACTCAAAGTCACCGCCACTGACGGGAAGTTTGAGGCTCCAGTCACTGTGGATGTCCATGTGCTGGACATCAATGACAACAGTCCACTGTGTGAACAGGTGAGGAGGTTATTTCACCCTTTCATTCACAGATAAGACTCATCACAGTTACGTTCACTATCACTGTCCAACAACAGCTTGTTAGACGCACTCCCGTCTGGCAGCAGCTCTGTACAATAGTCCTGTTGGCCACCGGCAACTCTTGAGGGAAATTAAATTCTTGAGCTGTTGCTTTTAATGGAGTAAGCCAAAAAAGGTAGTGTCTTTCTTAATTTATTCATTTATAAGAGTAAGTATTATGTGAAATGTAAGTCCAGCTGAATTATTTTGACTTCAGTAAAAAAAAAATAAATAAAAAATAATAATAATTTTAATTTAGAATCTTTTGTAGTTTGTTCCTATTTTACCAAAATTGATCAAGTAATTTCTGTACTTGGTTTAAACAAACTGATACTGTAACACATAAAAACTGACTGAAAACATGTCATGCTTTCATAGTTTAGGGAACATTAATCTTTGATAAATTATATAGGGACAATGCTGTTGTATGTTGTATGTGGTATTGGTTTATGCCCTATACAGTACCTGTCCCTATACAAATAAACATTGAAATCAAATAGAAATTAATTTGACCAGCAGAGACTTTGTGGTAGATGTGCTGTGGTTAATCTTGGAAGTTCAACTTTAAATTTTATTGTTGTATTTTGCCAAAACCCTGAAAAATATTGAACATAATTTGGTATAACTGTGAGTATTCATATCTTGATAAATGTTAAAACCTTTTCTGTCTTTTTTTCATTTCTTGCTCCAAACATAGATTTTTGGCGGACACCTTTGTCCAATATGACTTTAAAGCTAAAGTTAATAGTCTTACTCTACCTCTTGATCTACAGCTGCCTAATGCTGCTACTTTGTGGGAACTGTTTTTCTGATGTTGGCTCTATAACAACCATCTGAATTTTAAATTCATCATTCTTTGAAAATAACCTTTGATGTGAAGACTAATCACTTCAGATGTAACTCTAACAATAATGCTGACCACCTCTAAAATGTTTTAATATCACCTTTTCTCCCTTCATTACTGTAAACCCGAGCCCTGTTGCTGGTTTACTGCTCGCAGCTATATATCACTTTATTTATCCAGTACTCAGTAGCTTCACCTAGAGAAGTGCTATGCAAATGGAGGCCTGATTATTGTTATTATCCTCCTGTTCCAGCTGGTCTACACAGAGGTGGTGATGGAAAACTCGCCCTCCAGCATGTTTGTGCTGAAGGTTTCAGCTTCAGATCCGGACGTGGGAGCTAATGGCCAGATCTCCTACACCCTCCACGGCCCTGACGCAGACAAGTTCCATCTCAACCACAGGACAGGTATGATGGTGTGTGTTTGGGGTCAAAACATGAGCACACCCTCTAAGTGAACTGCGCTGAGTGTTTGAGTTGGCGATACCATCGACGCTCTGCAGCAGCTACTCACAGAGGCTCTGTGCTGACAAGAGCCAAAAGCATTTCTTTTGTCATTAGTTATTTCCCCTGTTTTCAGAGGCACCTCACTGACATCCATCACACTTTATTTCTGTCATAACATCTTCGTCTCATTTCTTCAATGCCAGCTGATTGCCTGGAGGATATCAGAGAGTTTTAAGCCACACTAACAGAGAGGTTGTAGAGACGGTAATGTTACTCATTCAGTGGCTCGACACTTTGGTACAAATATCTTGACCATTATTTGATCCCAAAGGTTGAAGTAACTTTTCAGTCAGTGCCACCAGCCTAACACTTAATGATTGGAAACATGTAAAACTAAAGACTGAATTTATAACAGCCTCATCTTTACTTTGACATTCGTGCATATACAGCAAGGAAGCATGCTAAACAACAGCAGTTTACTCATCATTGTTGGTAATATAGTGACAATTTAATATTTGGTGAACTGGTGAGCTAGCCGCTAACATGATCGCAAACTGTGAACATGGTAAACATGTTAGCTCAGGTGCTAACAAGACAGTAAGTTACCACAGAGTTTATTCAGGAAACACTTCTGTCCCATTTACCTCTGACTCACAGACCATTCATCTGTTGTGGGGCTGTTCTCTGGAAGAGCAAGGTTACATGACATGAAGTCTATGATGCAACACAGCTAACAGGCTATGATAGCATCCGTGACGTCCTTGTTGAATATTGAAAAAATTAAGGAAAATGTTCTTTGGACACATTTTGTACATTAATATTCAGTTCTCTTGTAAGTAAAAGATATTTTGTGTACTTGTATACTCTTCACGCCTTTCCCCAGGTGAGCTGTTCACTCTGGCTGTGTTGGACCGTGAGAGGGAGGTTGAATACAACCTGGTGGCGAAGGCGACGGACGGTGGCGGGCGGTCCTGTCAGGCAGACATCCTGCTGATGATCCAGGACATGAACGATAACCCGCCTCGTTTCTCCTCCAGCCACTATGAGGTCACTGTGTTTGACAACACGACCATCCGAACGCCCATCGCTGTCATATACGCCAAAGACCCAGACACTGGTAGGCTGCTGTTGAGTTTTACTAACACTGATGTGTTGTAATTATTGCATGCCCAAGGATTTTAACTCTTAACCCTGGGACTATTACAGTCTCTCCTACTTATTAGGCACTAAAGGAAAGACCGTAAGGTCGATTAATCAAAGTGTTTGTCTTGTTTGTCTTCATGATACCAAGCGAAGTCACGCAGCCTCAGGCTTAGGGCTTCAGTATGCCCCGGACAGCATTCCTGTCAGGTCGTCGACATATCAAGATAGGGCTTCAGTTTTATGTTATTATAAATAATATATGTATATATATTATTATTATTATGCTGTATTTTTTTGTTTCATGTTTCTGCATGTCCATATTTTATGTTGGTTCGAATGCGTGTGCTTTGGTTTGTGTTTTCATGGTGAGTATGTGAAACAGTGTGTATAATGTGTAAGTTGTTTAATGAACCAAATGGAACCAAATAGACTATAATAATAGTAATTATCTTTATTTTTAAAGCATTTTTCAAAACTCAAACTGTGCTTCACACAGGGTAGCAAATTAAAAACAAAATCAAGTTACAGCAGGGCAGCAAAATAAGTTCAAAATCGTATTATAAAAGACAAAAAAGAAAAACCAACTCCAGTGATGTAAGATAAAAGAAATGATGAAAAGGGGATTAAAACTGATAAAAACACAAACAAAATAGATTAAAAACTCTGTCAAGGGTTTAAGAAGCTCTGCTCTGGTGGAAAGGTGAAGGCTTGAAAACAAATGTCATGGAAATGTGGCAATTAATTAAGGTCAAGAAAAGAGTTTGAATTAAAGAAATCAGTTTAGGATCACTGTTACTTGCATAAAGTTTGTTCAAGTTCAGACACAGACTTTAAATTCTCTTCTCACATAAATGGACCAAACTAACAAAAACTCCTTGTTCAGTTTTGATTCAGTGTTTGTTTCTCTCTTCCTTCCTTGTTCATTTATCTTGTGCTCACTCCCTCATGACTTTTCTTTCTTGTGTTTTTCTCTTTCCTGTGATTTATATAAGCCTCATGTTTTGTAGCCCCACTTCTACAAATTTGTCATTTTGAGTCTTTTAGACAATTTGATCTCACTGTCTTTTTAATCACGTCATGTTTTACCACTGAACAAATACGAAACAAATCTGAACCAGTCTCTCATGACTGAAGTGAGCTGGCAGAGTGTGGTGCAAATTTCCGCTGCAGTGTTTGAATGTTTTATTAATTTGTTGCCTTTGATGGTTGGTTAGTTTTTAAGTGTCGGAATAGTTAAGTCAAATAAAAGTAAAGTAAAACTGAGACTTTCTTCATTGGAAACCAGTTGTAGAGCTGTTGTAGACACACACACACACACGCACACACACGCACACATACAGTACATTCATTTTAAGTAATTTATACAAACAAACACATGTATTCACACTTGAATAGTCAGAGTTCACACCTAGCTGGATCAATAAAAATGCACAAAGACATCTACGAATACAAATATTCTGCCCATACAAAGACTGGTACACACCTACACAATAAAGATAGACAAATTCAGACAAGTAGAAATTCATACACACACACACACACACACACACACACAATTGGGTAGGGAAGCATGAGCAGACAGAACAGGTGAGCCACTCCTTCAGATGTGCAGCAGCTTGTCCTCTTTCTCTACACCGGCAACTTTTCCCACAGACAACAATGACTTTTTTTTTTTTTTTCTTTTTCTTGGATGTTTTATTTGCCAAATAAGTTTATCAAGAACATTTTGACACGTTGAAAAAGAAGAGAGAAGACACAAAAATATACAAAGTGCGTATTTGGCAAAAGGTTAACAATCTGTTGATTCAGATGGTTTAAATCTGAAAATATGAATGTAACACTGAGAAATTTGCTGGTAGATCTGTATGTAATAAGATAGATTTGTATCATTATCATTCTTTCCTCGTTCATTCAGAGTGAAACTTGTCTGAGCAGTTATTGTTTTTCACAATTAGATTTCTTTTTTGGCGTTTCGCCTCTTGAGCATCAGGAAACATGAGAAAAGAGAGAAACCATCAATAACATGATGCATTAAGTTAAACCACAGCTGCACTAAAAATCAAAGATTTGAAGTTTTGACCTTTTACTGTAGCGCCATCTTTAGGCCAATTAGTTTGTTAAACTCAGTACAAAACTCCATCATCCCCCCCAAGGCTTCTCACTGTCAAACCACCTGTTTGTCGAAGCTTTGTCTGAGTTAAAAATGTTGACCTTTAATCACGGCACTCCCATGAGTCTGTGTTATTATCCAAAAACAGAAGTTTCCAAACGTTTTATCTTGTAATCACAGAACAAAACCTGACAGACTACATGTTCCTGTGAGCTGCAGGGGCGTGTTTACACTATTTTTAGCAGGGGATCAAGTAAAGGCAATGATTGAGGCAATAATCATTGATTCATGGTCAAAACATTTTGTTTAGTTTGCACAGCACATTACTCACTACAAACCAGAGGTCACTAACAGGCGGACCATGGTCCAGATCCAGACCCAGACATTGTCCTATCCAGACCCGGACGTATATATAAATAATTATTATTATATGAGGATTATTACATTTTGAATTACCGGCGCAGCGTTTTAGCCTTTACAACAATGGTCACGTGACGCTACTCAGCCAATCATTGTGACCCAAGTCAGTGAGTGAGATACACACACACAGTGCGAGAAGAAGAAGAAGTTGGAGGAATAAGTGTGGAAAGTGGGATAGAAGAGTTGTGTTTTTCTGGCCTCCAGGTTTAAAACTACACTCCCAAAGTAAAGACCATTGGTCTTGTGTTAACCCGCCTCATGTCGTGTTAGTTAGAACTTTTCTGCAGGGTCGTTATCTAATGGCTCCATCTGTCTCTCTTTCCATCTGTGCAACACTTGAGTCGAGAACAAGACATCTAATCATCTAATGACCAGATTGTCATTAAGTTTGCTCTGAATATTCATGGTCACAGTTTTTCGACTTCTCTCAGTTTTGGTGATCCTCTGACCTTTCATCGAGCACCATGATCAAATTCAGTGGACACTGAATTTGGGGCACTTTTATGCTCCAAAAGTAGTAAACCCTTGATTTTGTTGACCTTCGAACTGTATGACATGTTTTACTCCAACTTTAGAGTGTGCCAGTCAGTCTATCCAAAAACTTTGGTTTTGTGGAAATAATGAACGTTGCAGCCTCTTTGATACAAATCAACATAGATGAGAAGACAGGATCATACCTTCAAGTTTTGTTAAATTCATGTCTGACATAAACAGTTTTATCTATTGGACATGAATAAAGAGAGCATACATTTCCTTAAATCAAATACTGATGATTATTTCAGTTGAAGTGTCTATCCAGTATTTTTTAATCAATGTTTTTGGCAAACACATGAAAGTTTCTTCAGCATCAAGATCTTATGATTGCTGTGTTGAAAGTTGTATGTTGTTTTTGGTTCTTTCCCCAGTGCTTTGACATCATGTCCTGACTTTTAAACATAAACACACCTTGTGGAAATCCAGGTTTGGTTTTGATGACAGTAGCAATTTCTCGGCTGATTTGTTTTCCCTCTCAGAGATAAGACTCCAGGTGTCACACCGCAGCACGTCTGTCTGTGCCAGTATCCACCTCATACACTGAAACCAAACACAATGACATATTAGAAGTGTTATGTTTGTCCTTTTTGAATAAATATACTGAATAATCAAACAGAATCAATCGTCGTCGCTGCTGCTGCTGATGTAATTTTAGATTTGATTTTGTTATTTATTAGTTATTTCTCTTTGTATTCGTTCTCTCCAGGTATAAACTCTGAGGTGAAATACTCCCTCCTGGCGGGCGATAGTGGTTACTTCTCTCTGGACGAGTTTTCGGGGATCCTGCGGCTGGAGCGACCTCTGACCCCCGACACCCCGCCCACCTTTGAGCTGAAGGTAAAGGCCACCGATCGCGGCCTGCCCCGTCACCTGTACTCCATCGCCACTGTGACGGTGGACGTGGTGTCGCTGGACGACTACCAGCCCGTCTTCCTGAGCTCGGAGTACACCGCCCAGCTCCGAGAATCCTTAGCGGTTGGGTCGGAGGTGCTGAGTGTCTCTGCACTCACCAGAGATGGTGGAGGGCCGGATCATGTCGTGTATCGCATCATCTCTGGCAATGAGGACGGGCGGTTCCAGCTGGATTCACAAACAGGTTAGAGTAGTTTTACCCATCTTTCTCACACTTTGTTTACAGATGTGCACATCTGGTCAAGGTGAAGCATGACATGAAATAAGTGAAATATTCTGTTTTTGGCTCATGGTTGAAATGGACCTAAACATATGGAGCTATAAGACTTACCATTGCCTTTCTTAAAATTTAACATTATCTGTCAATAATCCCCTGCTCTACTTATCTCAGTTTGACTATCTGTCAGTGAAAGAAACACTGGAAGCTTAACTGAATATATTTACCTTCTTTCCAAGAGTTGGATGAGAATATTAATCCGACTCTCATGTCTGTAATGCACCTCATATAGTAGAGATGGATAAGACTTCCATGTGAATTCCATTCAGTCGATCACATTATCAGACACTTGTAATAACATACAAAACAATATAAAACTATATCCGTTAAATTTTGGTTTAATTACACCGACTTTAATGGCGAGAATGTCCATGTTAATGTGGCTGAGTATTTATTAAGTATTATTAAACTCCACGTTGGATAAATTGGAGGTTTCTCAGCAGAGTTACATCTTGGATTCTAATGTGAACATTATTTAGAAGTCAGAAATGTATAACTATGATACCTCTAATATGGCATGAGTGTTTCTTGGCCAGTGGTCAAGTGCACTGGCTCCCCGCAGCTTTTCATCATGGTGAAGCTCCACAGAAGAGCTGGGCAGATAAATAAACTTTAGTTTGACAAGAAATATTTGCAAATATTTGCTTTATAATCACAAATAGCTACAGTTGTTTCCTGATCAAACAAACTAGATATAATGTGTTTTAAATTAAGTCTTTATGCTAAGCTAAGCTAATCGCCCCATGGCTCCAGCTGCTGGACAAACTTAACACACACAAACAGAAGTGGTATCAATCTTCTAATTTCATTCTAAAGAGAGAAGTGATTTAAATAAATAAGATACTGAACTATTTCAGTAATACAGTTTCCGTTTGTGTAGTAACAGTAACAACTATAAAATAAAAAAATAAAAAACAGATTTCAAAATAGAAATTCATATTTAAAGAAAATTCGTAGAGGACCTTTTGTTGCTGAACCTCACAGCTGCAGCTGTTTTTGCCCTTGAAAAGCAGCTACCTGTTTTCTGCCATAAAGCAGAATTTTTACATCAGTTCTTGTGGTGTAAATCCACTTGGACTGATCTAAAACTGGTGGCAATAAAAAGCAATAATGATTTAATCTAGTTTCCCTCCAAGGTGGCTACAGGCTGACAGTCTACTCATCATCTGTCTATAATTTGTGTAATGTCTTTAAAATTAATAACTGCAATATTTTTTGCATATTAATATGCAACTTCCCAGATGAAGGCCACAGTGTGAAACGCTGTGGGCACAGTTATAAATTATAAATATAATTAACCACATAATTTCAAGATTTTACAGATAATTAGAGGAAGTTCCTGTCTGTTTTCTGTTTAAAAGAGTTCATTTTTCTATATCGTAGTTTGGTTTTTTGAAAATAAAAGTTTGATTATTTTCATTAAAAGTTGAAGTTAGTTAGTAATTGAGCATCTGACCTAAAGTTTGTGCTCTGTCCCCTGCTGGATTTAAAACTTGCAGAGTTTGGGAGTGAACTGCAGTCTGCCCTTTGGACTGTGAGGGACTGTCTCACGGCTTGCTGCCAATAAATCATTAAAGACCAGCTGGTCAGAAGAACCACTCTCATTGATCACTGTCCACTGCATTTGGTCTCATTACTTGGGGAGAGCAGAGGGTTTAAAAGTTTGAACAGCCGGGGTGTGGCGACCAGAACCTCCAGCTGAACCCAGCAGCAAAAGCAAAACTAAGCTGGACTAATACACAGACGTTTGTAGGAATACATTACACATAGCGGGGTTCTTGATATTCTTGGTACATGCTTGGGCAGAAGATTTGTTTTTATTCATGAGACACATTGAACTAGAAGTCACAAAGTGGTATGAAAAAGTGTCTGATTGCATGAACGTCCAGACTGAGAAGTCTCTGTAGGGATAAAAACCTCAGGCAACGTTCTGATGTCGGTGCTGGACTGAGACAAGAATCAGAAGTGAAATTGTTTTGGCTCCACTCGGAAACTAACCCCAAACTTATAGTAATTACAGCAGACATCACAGAATTTGTTGTTAAGGGGGTTAAAGTTTTGGTGTTGATTTAAGGGGGTTTATTTAAAGGGAGACCTCCTTGATTTGTTTTGGGAAACTCCTCTGATACCTTTTGAATGTGAAAATCAGGACAGGAAGAGGATAGTACCTTTACAATCTAGGACATCTCCTGTTCACTTGTTTCTTTCTCTCTCTGCTTCCACTAATCACTATATCCCCAGGTCAATTTACACACACTGCATTTTTTCTTTCTCTTCTTTGTTCACTCACTCACTAACTAACTCAGGCGTTCAGGAATGAAAACCTTTTCTTTTTTTTCACAAGCATCACGGCCAAAATAACCAGATTTATTTCACTGCCAATGTGCAGTACATGCACACATTCACAGCGGTTGTGTGTGTGTGTGTGTGTGTGTGTGTGTGTGTGTGTGTGTGTGTGTGTGTGTGTGTGCGTGTGCGTGCGCGCGTGCGTGTGCGTGCGCGCGTAGTGTCAAAAAGCCTGACCTGCAAAGTCAGCATTTGTGCAAAGAAATGTCAGTGATAGGAATGAAAACTCGAACAGATCCCATTATAACCCGCTCACACTACTGCCCTAGAAATCGATTCAAGGCTGTGAACTAGTTCCAGAAGTGGTCTGTCTCAGAACTGTTGTGTTGTTCTCCTGTTTAAACTTTAAAGAACTTTCTCTCAACTTAAATGGATCTAGACTTGATTAATACACCAATCAGTATATATGATTACTGTAGCCAAAATGACTGAAATGGCAGCTGCTTTTCTGAAAAGAGATGATGCAGTTTACTGCAGACTACACTATTCATATGCTGACATTTATGACTTTGGCTTTGATAATACGTTATATTTTGGAGCGTGAACCCAATTAGATCATGAGCATTTAGTCATGAACAGTTGGTAGTTAGCATAAAGCATCTACTATCAACTATCCCTTTAAGAAAGGTGACTCTCATTCAGGGACTTTTGTCCCAAATTCACGACATGTTTGTCTGTCAGACCACGCATGGCTCCCAACAACCTGGATGAAAAGGTAACTTTAAGACTTCAGGATACAGATGTTGAAGTTTAAATTTAAATTGATGGAGTCAGTTGAGGTGAAAGGTTGAGAATTAAAGGGGAAAAAAGTCCCACATGGATTAATTTATTTATTTGCTTAGAAGTTGAGGTTTGATTTTATTTGATCTTGGCTCCTAATACTGAAATGAATGATCTGTGACATTTTTAGCCATTCTGCAGAAATTAGATCTTGCAAAGCTTTGACAGAAAAGATCTAAAAAAAAAAAAAATACTGTTAGACTGGTTGAATTTGTGGTCACTCTTATAATCACCAGACTGATCAAGGAACCACATGATGGAGCGTGGTTATAAGAACAGAAATTAAAAACTTGTTTGTGTTTTGTGAAGAGCTCACTCTGTCCCATCTGCATCACTGCTGCTCTCTCATTATCACAGGCTGAGAGGAATTTGATTCATCACAAAGTTGATTATAACACAGACAGTAGTACAAAGTTCTCTTTGTTTTTGTTAAAGTTAATTTTTAATTAGTTTTCCTCGTCCTCCTCATGATGAAAAGAGGATGACTCACTGGCTTGTTGAGACCACTACTGATAATTTATGAGTTTTGTTTTTTGATGTCCACAGAATGATTGAATATTATATAAATAAATTATGGATGTACTGCGTCATCTGGAAACCTCTCTAAGGAAGCCGTTCAGAGTGCAGTTGTAAACAGTACCGTATTTTCCGCACTATAAGGCGCACTTAAAAGCCTTTAATTTTCTCAAAAAACGACAGTGCACCTTATAATTCGGAGCGCCTTATATATGGATTAATTCTGGTTGTTATGGCTACCGTAGTTAAGAGCGTCGCGGAGTAATACATGTGCTCCTGTCAAGAGACACGCTTACGACGCAGACATCAAACTCAAGGCTATCAGTCACGCAGTAGAACAGACTGTGTTTTTTTTTACGTGTTACAACTGAACAAGGTTGGGAGTTATTGTGAATACGCTCATTAACATTTGAACAATGTTGAGAGTTATTGTGAACGTGTTTAATAAAGTTTGACTGACTGACTTATCTGACTGTTTTGTTTCGCTTAATGCGCCTTATAGTCCGGTGCGCTTTATATATGAAAAAAGTTCGAAAATAGACCATTCACTGACAATGCGCCTTATAATCCAGTGCGCCCTATAGTGCGGAAAATACGGTATATCTGACACTGGCCCTCAGTCAGAAGGTGTTTTTCTAAACACTTGACACACTGCAGTCGGTGCTGAGACACTAGGTTTAACCAACATGACTTTGTAAGTGTGTCTTTGAATCACAGAGAAGTGTTTCAGTCCACACAAGGTTCGGTGTCAACCCCTCACATCTGAGACACAGCGATGAACAGTGGAACATGCAGCATGGAAAATGTAAAACTTCTCAGTATTATTGTCACTATCAGTACATCAGTTTAAACATTACTTTGATGTTTGTGTGTGAATTTTAGCTTGTAAGACTTGTTGTCATCGGTCATATTCACAGTGATGTGCATTCGTGTTCAGATGAAAGTTTTTGGAAAGTCGAGCTGCATTTATAGTTGTTTTTTAAGGAGCTACGGCACATGCGTGTAGCTGCTGTACAGTATCTTTGAATTTGAATCCTAACTGGAACCATTTTAGACTCAGATTGAAACAGTTTTTAAAGAGGGATCAGTCGTCTTTTCCTCTTGAGTTTCATGTATTTTAAAGGCCCATCTACGGGCGAAGCATTGCGGACTAGCTCAGGTTTCAAATGCTGAGGCATGTGGCAGTAGTTAATGCTGTTTCCTTGTCCTTGATAAACAAACAGTGGATTAAAAAATCTAGCTACAACAACTGCACTGCAGCAGTT